ATTATTATTATTATTATTATTATTATTATTATAATAATTTAAAAACATATAAATTGTAAAAAACAAAAACAAATATTGAATAAAAATACAATGTAATAATAATAATAAGATAATACTAATACATAATAATAATAATAATAATAATAATAATAATAATAATAATAATGAACAAATACAAAAAAAAAGATCAATAGTGCGAAACAATACATACCCGGTATATGTTGTGTTGTCAAAGTAAGAGAAACAATTGAGACCCTGCAATTGTGTGTAAATGAGGCAGAAAGTCAGATCAGGAACCTGGGACTTGGTCACAATTTTTGGGGTCCAACGAATTACCCAAAAGTATATTAAATCAGGGTAAAATCTTTACGAATATCTGTTATACATACACAAAACATGTCTAATAATATTCTTAGTGTAATTTTGTAAAAATAATTTGTAAGATGAAATAATAAACAGCGAAAAACTTTCAGTATTGGCGAACGCTAAATTCCAAAGAGTTCGTGAACAAGGGAGATAACTCAGATCCATCATGATGCACTTCGCTAACCTAACGAAAAGTAAATCCTACGGCTATGTTAAATACCCCAAAGTAACAGAAACATCGGTAATTATATCTCCATTTTGGATAGGTACCTCTTTGGAAATTAGCGTTTTTCGCTGTTTATTATTTCATTATTTTGACTACATTTCAATGAATACATTATTAATCAGGTTTTATTGATGTAAAACATATATTCGTTAAGATTTTACCCTGATTTAATATACTTTTGGGTACATTTGGGTACTTCTGGGTAATTCGTTGGACCGCAATTTTTGTGATGCCATATGGCTGCAGGGTCTACCATTAGACAATACATTATGCTTCCAATATCTTCCCAGGCAGTAGTACCTCCCTGTTTGATAGCTGCCTACTACTGTACCTACAGGAGAGAGGAGGAACAACGGGAATGTTTCGAGAGCAGGAACAACATAATAGTGTTTGGAGTCAAACTCGAACTGGTTGTTATTGATGACTGACCCGAGGACAAGTTAATTGTTTTGCTGTTTATTTTCTTACTCTATTTCTGATAGGATAATCATTTCTTGTGCAAACATTTTTGGCGTAGATAATGAGGTGCCTAGGCACGCACTACTTTGTCTTCTCGGCAGTACCGTAATGCAGCGGTGACATTTCATCCCAGGATGTAACCAGCCAATCACATTGACATATTTCAAAACACTCCGCCGCCCAGGCCGGATCAATTCCAATGCTTAGTGTATGTTTATGAACCGTTTGATACAGGCACTGCTCTCACGTCCACAAAAAAATTTAAAATTACACCATATCATAGGTAAATTTTTTTCTGTTTAATATACCCTGACCGGGGGGTCCAAGGGGCTCTGTCAGGGAAGGCACCTTCGTGGTGTAGATTAATATAACATTTTTCTATTCTATTTTTAATTTCTTTTAACTCTTATTTTTTTGTTTTGCCTTTTAGGCCCTGTTGTGGATCGATGACCTGTACCCGGGTGGGCTATTCCCCCCCACCCAAAAGAAAATTTGTTTGGTTAGGTTGGTGAGGTCTAACAATGCTTCTGCTGCTTGTTTTCATTATCAACTAAGGCCAGGTTAGGTTTAATTTAGATAAAACCACTTATTAACATATTTGCACAAACTATGATAGTGTCCACTATAAAACAGTAAATTTGCGGCATTTTTATAATCGTTTAATATGAAAAAGCAGCCGCAGGTCAGTCGTCAATAATTACCCTCGAACCTTTTGAAATACCTCAGTATAAATTAACTGATACCTTTACTGTATTAAATTACACCAAACTTTATTGTTAAGAAAAGCATTTCTACATTGTGTGTTTCAGCATAAAAAATCCTTGAGCCGCTGACAACTGGATTTTGATCTGGTATGGCTTCTGGTTTCAGATCCAGATACTGTATTGTACTGTAATTTCTGGCAGGATCACAATCCAATAATTCATATTTTTTTTTATTTCGAACTTTCTGTTGACAACTAAAATGTTCACATATTACTGCATTCTTCACATTAATTAAGGCTGCTCTATGACACTGTATTTGCACCAGTATATCCTTATATATTTTCTGCTTTGTAAAAGAGTGATATTTTTTAATAACTTCTATCCCAGGAGTACACCTAACACGCCACACACTCTTCGTTATTTCTAAAAGTGACTGTAATAAGTTTTTTTTTTCCATGGTGCAATTCCTAGTCCTATTTTCAGTTATAATCACTCCTTCAGGTAGGTGTCCTGCCTAGCAGAACACCTGCGAAGGAGGAGCAGGAGTGGAGAGTGGTTGTCTCCAGGGGACTAGGGTCAGACTCAGGAAAGCTGACCAGGGTGTGGAGTGTAGTAACCCCTACCAGGTGCTGGAGGAAGCTGGCAAGGAAGAGAAGAGGCAGAACGGTATGGAGCAAGGAGAGGAAAGGGCAGTTGTACAAACCCTGCCCACAGGTAAAGTCGTGGTAGTTGGGGACAGCCAGGTGAGGTTTTTAGATAGGACTTTTTGTGTAAGAGATAGAAAACGTAGGACTAGGGTGTGTTTTCCTGGGGCTGTCCTCCTCTGAGCACCCTCACCAACCAGCTCTCTCTACATCACGCTTGTAACCACGCTGCCACTTCCCAGCACCAAGCTGCATTGTACATCCAATACAATATGTATACAGAGAGCACATTGTGAGTTTTCTTTCTCCATCCCGTCCTGAGTGTGAACCCAAACATCTCGTACCCCACAAATGGTGACCCCCGGAGATTCGCACTCGCACAGGATGGGGGAGAAACCGACCACGCTCCCAGTCTTCAAGCAACATGGAAGACTGGCTTATCCACACAGAAGCAGCTCTCATCGGCTCTACAGCGACTGTCTCTACACCGCAGGTTAGATACCCTAGAGCAGCTCTGCTACTCTAAGCAGACAGCCGCTCCTCTTCCTGCCCCAAGCACCACGTCCTACCGACCCCAACACACCCGTCCTGCCTCAGACGCTGCCCCCAGCCCAGCAGTACCCCCTGCCGCTCCTGATGCAGCCCCTGCTCCCGACGCGGCCCATGCGCCTGAGTGCGGACCCACACACCCCTCTTTTTTCCCTCAGGTACTCCCTGCTGCTGTCGTGGACCCAGCTGCTGTCACGAGCCCTCATCCGCTTCTGCTGACGCAGTCCCTGCTCCTGACCCAGGCCCACACACCCCAGCAGGCGAATCTGACGACTCTGTACCGACTTGTGAAAGAGACCTAGGGGTGCTTGTAAGCCCGGACCTACGGCCTAGAAAACAGTGCGTTAATGTTCGAAATAAGGCAAACAGAGTATTGGGTTTTATATCTAGAAGTGTAAGTAATAAGAGTGCAGAGGTCTTATTGCAACTATATCTTGCGCAAGTCAGGCCGCACCTCGATTATGCGGCTCAGTTCTGGTGCCCTTATTATAGAATGGATATCAATTCACTAGAGTCGGTGCAGCGAAGAATGACGAAAATGATTCCGGGACTTAGAAACCTTCCATATCAAGATAGATTAAAGAAAGTAAACTTGCATTCCCTAGAAAGACGAAGAGTGCGGGGATATATGACAGAAGTATTTAAGTGGGTGAAAAGAATCAATAAAGGGGATATAGATAAAGTTCTTATAATATCCGAGCAGGATAGGACTCGGAGCAACGGATTTAAGTTGGATAAGTTTAGGTTTAGGAGGGAGATAGGAAGGAAATGGTTCACAAATAGGGTGGTGGACGAGTGGAACAAGCTTAGCAGCTTTGTAGTAAGTGATGGAATGCTGGAAAGTTTCAAAAGGAGGCTAGATAGATTCATGGATGATAGAGAGTGGTAGTAACTCTCGACAGGAGCTGCCATGCACAGGCCAACCGGCCTATTGCAGACTCCTTATTTTCTTATGTTCTTATGTGAGGGAAGCACAACATTCATAGCCTCCACACACCCTCTTTCTCCCTCTCTTCACCAACAAATCTTGTGTGTCTAGACAGTTGCCTCCACTAGCGGCCGGCTGATCCACGCCGTCGCCGTTGTCTCAAATGAGGCATGCACCGCCCGTTCTGCCTCACATGTGCCATGCAACCCTGCAGAAAACAAGTCTCCTACACCGCCTGGAGAGAAGGACGGAGTATTGTAGTGGATTTCTCCCCTACAAACGCTGTTTGTCGCTGAGTAGCCGATCCTGCGAATTCCCCAGTGTATGCCTCGTGGTCTAAGTCAACCAGCGCCGCCTTACATGACGGAGGTCAACTACTAAGCCACGCCTACCTCCGCTATTTAAGACCTGACCTCGTGGTGACCGCTCTCTTTTCTGGTTACAGCCGCAGCAAGCAACACCACCTCCTCCGCCGCTACCTGGCGGCCCTCGCTCCTGCCGGCGAGCATGGCGACCCACAAGCTGTCCTCCTCTGAGCACCCTCACCAACCAGCTCTCTCTACTCAACGCTTGTAACCATGCCACTTCCCAGCACCAAGCTGCATTGTACATCCAATACAACATGTATACAGAGAGCACATTGTGAGTTTCCTTTCTCCATCCCATCCTGAGTGTGAACCAAACATCTCGTACCCCACAACCCTAAGTTTTAATACTTCCTAAGCCCTGTAATTCTCCTTCAGGGTCCCTGTTACGATCATGAGCTTAAAAAAAAACTAAGTATTTAAGTTTATCAATATTAACTTATTTTATACAGCTACCAATTAATTTTTTCTGTGAAATGTCCCATAACAAACACATTTCATAGTGGGACTATTATTTTTGCTGATAATGAACTACAGTACTTTACAAACCCATTCTTTTCGCCAGTTTTTGATCATGAAAAGATGAAGAGTACTGTATAAAACTTTCAATTAATACTCATATTCATGTTTTATTGTTTTATTTCAATATACTCTAATCTTATTCAAATGGATATACATCACAGCTGAATATCTTGATTCACTAAAAAAATCAATTATCTAATAAACGAATAAACGTGTATTTGAAAATAAAGTACCGTATCAATATCTCATCAACACTAAACTTGACAGAAATTAGAAGACTATCAACTTCGACACTTGTTCATTACTGTTATTAAAGAATCTCTATCTTTATAACAGTCATTCTCTACAAGTATCAGTATTCAAGCTATAATCACTCGTTTCTAGACATATATTCTGGTAGATTTATCCTTATAACTGAAAATAAGTGATATTTGGATATGACCAAGTTAAAAGTGTATTAGAGAACTGTACTGTACAGAGTACTGTGTTTTAGTAAACTTTCTTTGGTTTAATCTTTGGAACAGCTGATTTCTATTGATAATCGTCCTCAGTAGTACCGGTACATAAAATATCAATACAGATTTCATCAGTACTGAGCACTTTCATGATCAATACTGTATATCATTTGTGGTCACAACTCACTACCAAGTAACACTATTTTTAAAACTAAAACCTTATCAAGGAATTACCAGTGCAACAACAAAGATTTACTGTACTGATATTAGTGCAGTATAGGTATGCTTATTTTAACAAAATATTCACACATCTTTCTTGGAGTTATACTTCTTTGTATGCAGTCTACCGAGCTAGACTTGATCTACCGGAATATTTACACCGTAGCATCTATTAACCCAACCTAACCTAACTTAATCTAATATATATTAATCTAACATAACCTGACTTAATCTAACCTAACCTAAATTAACCTCGGTTAATTTAATGGATGCCAGAGTGTAAATATCCCGGTAGACACAACTTCAGCTCGGTGGGCCGCTTGCTATAGTAGCTCCAGCTCGGTAGGCCGTATACTGTAGTAGCACCAACGATACTATATTATACTTGTACATACTGTACTCTAATTGTTTTACCATGAAAAAAAAAATATTGTTATACGGTCAAGATAAAAATTCTTCAAATTGTTGTTCCCGTTAATCATAATGTATTTGTAGATGAAACTTCGATTTTTTTAAAACAAATCTAACAGAATCACTTCATATAAGATCAGCAATACAGTTTACACGTACAGAGAAAAGATATGTGTACAATACACAAATTACATCCTTTCTAAACTTTCAGAATACATATACTGGACTGAACTGTGTGTGTGTGTGTGTGTATGCCATCCCTAAACTCAATTCAGGTAAACAAAAGCTTATTTACACTTGTTTTAAGTGGTAATGATGTACAGTGTAAAGAATATTGAATCTACTACTTCCATATTAATAAAGTTATACACAATAAAAATATATTACTTGACATCAATAATTATCCAAAAGAATTCAGAATTTTTAATCCTTAATTGAAAAGCTCATCTAGAAATTATCAAAACTTTGGTGATGGGCATGGAACTTATGAAATAAATATAGTATCAGCTTGCGATAATGGTAACTCTGCTGCATTAACAAATTCACTTTCTGATACAGGTATTTCCATATTTTTTTCTAATTCATTACAAGCTGCAAAAGAATCAGAGCAGGCTCCATTTGTCAAAACATTTACCTTGATATAGCTATCGTTAGTTTTTATACGAGTACCAAGTTGCTCCGTATCACCCAACTTACCCACCACATCAACGTATTGGGCGCAATTTGTAGGATCTTGAGGTGTACTAAGGCTTGTGTCAGATGGCTGACACAGGAATGTCTCAAAGCCAGAATCTCGTTCCATATGCATTTCTGTCTTCCCTCCATCTATGTAAATGACAAAAATATGCTTATAAGATGTTTTTTATAAAAAAAATCCTGCAATATATTATCAAAATCAGTGCCTCTACCCACTATCCCCGAAAATGCAACTATCTGGATATACTCTCCATAATTAGAAACAACAGCGAAGTGGTCTATAATGACCCTGCAAACCCATATTTGTTCAAAACATGTGCCATTGATTAAAAAGGGCTGGGTATCAAATCATGACTCATTACAGTAGATACGTCCCTCATAATTTTCTTCAAAATTCGGATGCTTCCCATTTGGAGCACTGTCAGTTGACTGAGAAAGTCTGAAAGAGGGCCAACAGACTGGTGCCTACACTCTGACACCCTGGGATGCACCATGTCAGGGCCAGGACTCTTATGAAGCTTTAGTCAAGGTGAGAGAGAGAGAGAGAGAGAGAGATGAAAACCATAAATCTAGTTACCCTAACCTGCAAATAATGAATCTGTACTGGTGTCGCTCTCAGACAAATACAGAATATATGAATTCTCAGAAGTACTGCATTCACGTTCTAGACATGTCTGGCACTGTAAAGGTGATTTGTCAGGACCCCGAGGACGACCTAGAATGAGTATTATGCATATCAACAAACTGACCATCATGTTCTTGTATTTATTAATGAACTCAAAAAAGCAGGTACTCCATATTCAGAATAATAATAAAAAAGCAACATTCATCCCAAATACAGTATAAAATTTCTCAATGAAGAGGGGAATGAGGGTTGCATGATGTGTGATTTTGGTCAGAAAGTGGGAACAATCAGCAAAGGGCCTAGCAACAGCACAGCATATTTGATGGTACAAGCACGTCACTGCCATTATGGCTTATTAAGCCACTGCAATGCAGTAGATACTAGGCTCGCCACCTGTCCTAAGGTTTACCAGTTATTATCCAGGGCACCTTGTGTATCAAAGTCTTATACTCAGTGTGCTATCACTTCCTGTGAACCCAAATTTATAGGTGGGGCATACAGTGCTTAAAAAAACACTAATATGCCGGAAAGGGTTTGGATGCAGGACGGTAACATAATGAGTTATTAGTTATTGAAAAGATACTCGATCCAGTTAGAAAGGTGTACCAAGTGAAAATGGGGAATGGTCGGAATAAAAAGTTATTTCAACAGCACCTTCAAGGAAAGGGTTGTGCATCTGTAATTTTTTTTTTTACGGGAATTAGCACACCCAGGCACAGGTCACTGACCCACATCGGGGCCTGGGGGGCGAAAATGTAATAGTAATAATAATAATAATGATAATAATAATAATAATAATAATAATAATAATAATAATAATAATAATAATAATAATAATAATAATAATAATAATAATAATAAAGAACCACAAAGAAATACAAAATGAAAAAAATATAAAAATGAGGAACAATATATGTATGTTGTGTTGTCAATAGTAAGAGAAACAATTGAGACCCTGCAATTGTGTGAAAATAAGGCAGAAAGTCAGATCAGCAACCTGGGACTTGGTCACAATTTTCGTGGTGCCATATGGCAGCAAGATCTACCATAGACAACACATTATGCTTCCAATATCTTCCCAGGCGGTAGTACCTCCGTTTGGTAGCTGCAACAATAATTCATTATCACCAGGCTAAACAAAATTGAGTCTGGGTTGTTGCTAGTTACAGATTGAGAGAGAAGCAGATGCATGCGCTTGCCATTAGGTTGAAGCTAGGGTAGACAGGGTAGGAGCCACATCAGGTACAAATGTACCAGGAGGATGGCAAGTGGGGCAGTCCTCAATAGCCATGGCCTTTGAGATTTAGAACTGAAAGACGGTCACCCAGGTGAGTATGTTGAAATCAGGAGCGCATTAAGAAGAATTTCTACATCTGAAGACCCCTGGAGTGAGTAGAGATCGCCCCAATACAACAACTGAATTGACAAGTTGGGACTAAAGTGAACACACCAGTTGAGGTATGGACAGTCAGACGGACTCAATGGGAGTATGGATAAGTGCGATAGGTACTACAGCTGGAATGAGCATAACATTCTTTCTCCCTAATGGGTGGTACAGGCATTCTAACGTAACCTATACGTTTCAACTTACTTCCAATGCATTCCAAAGTAGGGATAAAGGGGCATATTTATCTCATAATTTCCGTGACACCCCAATTCAGATACTGATTTCAAATGGGTTTCTTCTAATTACAGCCAAGTAGAATCAGTAAACAGTATTTATTTTTTATTGCTTTGACGAGGTAGCTTTTTTTTTCTTAGGGGTGATATAAAAGCGATATGCACCACGGGTACAGGCCCCCCACTTATGTGCATTTTCTTCTGAAGTAATACCTTTCCTTTGTTATAGCTTTATTATGATGTGATGCGGAAGATAATAGGAGGGAGATGAACATCCAGGAAGCAATGATATGTTGTGAACAACCAGAAATTACTGATTGAATTATTCTTAATGTGTGTGTGTGTGTGTGTGATGGTAAGCCACACACGTAACTGGATAATGAAGGTGTTAAAGTATAAATCGACTAGTAAAATGTAAAGTAACGTTCAGTAAATATGGTGCAAGAAAATCAAGTTAACTAACCATTATCATTGGGGTGTTTGAGATAATCTCGCAGTGCCCCACCATGGTAAGTTGGTCTCTCGCGGTCCCACATCCAGTGGTCTGGCTGCATCCCAATCACCTGGGATATATGAAATTTTACTAAACCTTAGGTAAACTACACATTTTAAAAGTGTCCAATATATTCTTCAATTATGGTCTATCTCCATTCACAGAAGCTTCAAAATGTTCCATTAATTTTCAAGTTATGTTCTATGTAATTCTGTAATTCTTACATAAGATTTTTTTTACAAGAGCTTGTACTATAACCACCATTCTGCATTAAATATATTAAGTAATAACCCAAAACAAATCACACATATTCAATTTTTTTCTCATACAAGAACAAAGCCCTACTACACTGTCTTTAAACACTTTTCAGGCAATAAAATTGTACACCGTTTGTCACATTCATTGACTAAAATCAATAAATTGCACACAGAGGAAGCCTTTATATACAGTATGTTCTGTATTCAGTTTTCAATCAGCCTGGAAATTAACACTACCTGGTCACAACATCTCTTAGAAACAACTGCACGACAGTCGATCGCCCAGAAGATATCATCCCGCATCTGTAGGAGTAAGGGGTAGGTCTTGCGCCATTTGCGACCAAGTGCCCAGGGGAAAACTTCGAATTTCAACTCTTCTTCATCTTCTTCCATATCATGTGCAAGATATCTGTAACATTAAGTAATATACAATCGACTACTCTCTAAATCTTCAACATTTGGTTGGATGTGTTAAATTAAGGAGACCTTTCGCCTCAGATAAGAGAATAGGATCGCTCACGGAAAATTTTGGAAATTTTCCCTGACCTCTGAGTAGAAAATGTTTTTTCTTACCGCTCCTGTTTCGTACTTTGCAAAAAAAAAAACTACAAATTGATTTATTCACCTACACGCTCGCAGCTAGATAGATATATAGATATCCTGTATACATGTATACAGAAATAGAGAGAGAAATTAATGCATTACTGTAGTACTTACAAAGCTGCAAAGAAGTTTTCTTTAGAGTACTGGTCGCACTTATATCCAGCACGCACAAGGTAGGTGAACACCATGGCCAGCAGGTACTTGTCAGCATAGCGACGACAAATGTCAACTTTTAGAAATTTTCTTACAACTGGGTCCTCTTAAAACAAAGAAAATAATGCACACTGTTAGACTACTCATGTAACAAAGATTACATTAGTTTCCCCTCAAAAATGCATTATTATCGTAGAATTCGTTTAGTATACTATTAGGGACAGATGCATGACAGTAAATATTTATTATAGATAATATACTTCATGTCAAACCAATATGCAATTCATCAGGGTATATCTATAAACGACTATCACATGCATTCTATTCTACTAATACAGTACTACTGTCAAACTTAGTGACATTAATCAGAACCAAAAATTTATTTGCAAGGTTAATACAGTAGTTCAATTAAGTTTTCTCAGGAATTATAATTTTTCACTGTTACCTGACATTTAATATTCAATATTAATATCACTGTACAATTCTAAATTTTTAATTTACATTATTATAAAATTCACTCTCTATAAAACTTGCTTACTGAACTTGTGTCATCAGCAAGGAAGGATTCATGTAATGAGGTGATAATGGACTGATCCACCGGCAAAAGCAGATTAATTGGTCTCTGTTATAACTGAAAGATCTTAAGTAAAGCAACAACAAAAACGATTTGCAAATACAAGATTTTTAAATATAAAATCATTAGGTATACATTCAAGGAGTCTTCAAAATCTCTAATAAAATAAGATCATATTTATAACATCAGGAATACTGATACCCTATAACCGAACCCTGCATGGACAGTTGCCAAACTACTGTATAGTACTACCCTGATCTATCCTCCTCACACGATTCAGTGTGTCAACATATTGATGCTTTATGCCAACCTCACACATGTATGCTATTCTACATGAACCTTACATCATACATGCCCTACCCCATCCTGTGACCCAGTAAGCACTAGCAGTGATGGTGGTGTTCCCTTGTAGTGGATTCCTCCCCTACAAACGCCGTGTGTCGCTGACTAGCCGACCCCCCGCGATTTCACCAGCCTGCACCTCGTGGGCAAGGTCAGGTAACCAGCGCCCCCGAACAAAGCGGAGGTCTACAATCAAGCCACGCCTACCCCCACTATATAAGACATAAGAACATAAGAACACAAGAATGGAGGAAACTGCAGCGGGCCTATTCACCCATACTGGGCAGTCCCGTTTATACCCAACCCCTATTGCTCATATAAGCATCCAACCTATGTTTGAAGCTATCCAGCATATTCGAGTTAATGATGATATTTGGTAACTTGTTCCATTCATCCACTACTCTGTTTCCAAACCAGTGTTTACCTATTTCACGCCGAAATCTAAATTTGTCTAATTTAAAACCATTGTTACGAGTTCGCTCCTGGTTGGATACTTTGAGTACCTTTGTCATGTCCCCTTTGTTTAACCCTGACTTCCATTTATACACCTCTATCATGTCGCCCCTCACTCTACGTCTCTCGAGGGAGTGCAAATTAAGATGCTTTAACCTGTCTCTGTATTCAAGGTTCCTAATGCCCTGAATTAGTCTTGTCATTCTCCTCTGGATTCTTTCCAATGATTCTATATCCATTCTGTAATACGGTGACCAGAACTGAACTGAGTATTCCAGGTGAGGTCTAACAAGCGCTAGATATAATTTTAAGATGACCTCGCTAGTCCTGTAACTAACACACCTTTGTATGAATCCAAGTACTTTATTAGCCTTGTTACGAGCAAAAACACATTGCTTACTTGGCTTAAGATTCCTACTTATCATTACTCCTAAATCTCTCTCGCAGTCGGATTCCACAATGGCATCGTTGTTCATCTGGTAACTGGTTTTCCTGCATACATCTCCTATACTGAGTACTTTACGTTTGTCCACATTGAATTTCATCTGCCATTTTTCCGACCATTCGAAAAATTTGTTTAGATCTTCCTGTAGTTTTGCAGAGTCCTTGCCAGATTTAATTACACGTCCTATTTTAGTGTCATCAGCAAATTTACTTATGTTGCTGTCTATGCCGATATCTATGTCGTTTATGTATATAATAAATAATAATGGTCCAAGTACAGAGCCTTGGGGAACTCCACTAGTGACGTTGCTCCAATGCGATTTAGTGCCGTTTATGCTCACTCGCTGTTTCCTGTCCCGTAACCACGCCCTAATCCATTTAAGGATATTACCTTTGATGCCATGCTCTTCTACCTTTCTAATTAGTCTTTCGTGGGGGACTCTGTCGAAGGCTTTGCTAAAGTCGAGATATACCACATTATAATTGTGCCCCTCGTCCACCGATTCGAAAACTGATGAAAAGAATGTTAATAGATTAGTTAGACATGAAGGCCCGCTTGTGAAGCCATGTTGGGAATCATTGATCAACTTGTGCTTCTCCAGGTGGTTTCGAATAGAGTTTGAAATAATTGATTTTAGTAATTTACCTACTATTGATGTTAGACTGATTGGGCGGTAGTTAGAGGATAGTGATCTATCCCCCTTCTTGAAAATCGGTATTACATTCGCTATCCTCCAGGATTCTGGTACGACACCTGTTTTTAATGACATGTTAAACAACTTTGCTAAGGGCATACTAAGCTCATCCATACATTCCTTTAATACTCTGGCAAATATCTCATCGGGACCAGGTGACTTATTAGGCTTCAGTTTGTCTATTTGCTTATTAACATCGTTACTAGTCATTACTATCTCGCTTAATTTGTTTTCTTCACTATCTCTGAATAGAGTCGGTGCCTCGGGTATCATGTTTAAATTTTCGGTGGTGAAAACCGTTGAAAAATATTTATTCAGATTATTGCTCATTTCTCCGTCGTTATCAGTTAGCTCGCCGGTGTTTGAACGTATTGGTCCAATCTTATCTCGTGTTTTAGTTTGATACATTTGGTAGAATCCTTTGGGTTTGTTTTCGCCTCCCCTGCTACCTTCAGTTCATAGTTCCTTTTGGCTTTTCTTATCTCGGTCTTAACCCTACCGGCCAATACCTTATAATACTCCCGGAGGTAAAATTCGCCACGATTTATCCTTCTACCTATAGCCTTCCTTTGGCCAATAATGACCTCACCTGGCCGTGACCTGCCCCTTCTTCTAGCTACAGCCGCAGCAAGCAACACCTCCTCTGAGCACCCTCACCAACCAGCTCTCCCTACTTACGCTTGTAACCACGCTGCCTCCTCCCAGCACCAGCCACCAAGCTGCATTGTACATCCAATATAATATGTATACAGAGAGAACATTGTGAGTTTCCTTTCTCCATCCCATCCTGAGTGAGAACCAATATCTCATAACCCCACACCCTCTCCTCCTTCTGACCCACTACTTACCAGACTGTAAGAATTTAATCCCACCTTAAACAATTACAAGTATTAAACTAGCCTGACGCTTTATATATTAGTAATGATTTGTAGCTTTGAAGTCATAACATGCACTCGAAGTAAAAGTGAAAAGCTATTGCATACTCTACATACCTGTCATTTGCGTAAACAATTTTGATAAAATAATATTAATCTCTAACAAAAGTCTAAGGTACATAGTGGAGCTAATATTTTAAAAGGTTATCTCACAAAATTATCTCAAGACATCTGTAAGTTACCCTATTACATTGTATATTGGACTAGTGTAATTATAAACCGAGTTACGTGTTAAAAGACCTTAGTTGTTGAACAACAGTAATAACATTATAATAACAACTTACCCACAAGTTGAAAAAACCAGGTCAAGTGTTTGCGTGAAACAAACACATTGCCACTTGAGTTTTCATCACGTCGACTACGTCTAGGAATCCTTTTCTTTTTTTCCTTATCACTGATGATTGGTGTCCCGGCATGCTTGTTGTTGCGTGTGTTGATATTGCTGCTCTCAGCTTTCTTATCCTTTCTCAATGTATTGTCTTCTCCAATGCACTTCTGCAGCGTAAAAAGTAAAAGTTGACGCGCTCTGCCTTCTTTTCCTGTCCGTGTATTACAATTACTGAAGTTTTGTTTCATATGTACTGCGCACATCATTGTCATTCCTAAAAACCTCATTTAATTCATATTACGCTACATAACATTCAAATCCACCGCGCTTGTAGAATCTCAGGAGAGACGTGTTTTCCCCTTTGTTTTACACTCAGGCTCACTCCCAGTCAGTCCCCCTTCGAACACAGTTGTCACTACGTTTATTCCACTCTCTACTGGCAAACGCAATCTTGAATTAGTCTGTGGAACTCAACTTTAGTAATTCGCCAGACCTTTGTCAATGAGTAACAGTTAGATTGTTTGTAATTTCTGTCATTGCGTGAGTAGCGATCGCTGGCAACTCAGGGATATATATACCCGCGCATCACGCAGGGCGAGCGTCCCCTGACGCCGCTACATGTTTCCCCAGATCGACGGTGGGCTTAATTGAAACCCACCGGTCGCTCGGAGCCGGTGGATACCCAGTAATGGTCAATATAGGAGTGATGGCGCTGATTCGACATGATTAATCGGCTCCACTCTACCTCGTGGGCCCAGGGCCCCAGACCCGCCTCGTGTCGGAGTGTAACCGACCACAACAGCAGTCATCAGTTGTTAGAGGCGCCAGTGCTATGCCTTGGAGTTATGGTCCACAGTGTGGTTGTATGTGTTTGTTAATAATTACCCCATGTTGGGTAGTGGACCCATGTAGGTGTTTGTATCAGTATTAACGTGTTGTTGTGAGGGCATCTCCTATGCCCTACCAACAGTCTGTGAAGTGCCATTTGCCGGTTGGTCTTGTAGTGGATTCCTCCCCTACAAGCACCGAACCTTCTCGAATTCCCCAGCCTACGCCTCCAGCGCCGCCCACGGAGCGGGGGTCAACTATCTACCCACGCCTACCCCCGCCTTATAAGGCCTGACACCGCTGTGACCATCCTCTTTTCTACCCAGTGCCACCAGCAAGCAACACCTCCGCGCCAGCCGTGCGGCTGCCGCTCCCGCCAGCGACCTTGGCGTCCCTCAAGCCGCGTGCCCTCACTCTGGGCACCCTCACCACCCAGCTCTCTCTACTCAACGCTTATTACCATGCTACCTACCCAGCAACAAGCTGCATTGTACATCCAATACAAAATGTATACAGAGAGCACATTGTGAGTTTCCTTTCTCCATCCCATCCTGAGTGTGAACCAATATCCCATACCCCTACAGTCTTATAACTGGATGTAATGAGAAATACCTAGTAAAGTAATCTGCAAGGAGTGGCCATGTAGCTATGTATTGTGAGTAAGGACAAGGAACTGGTCCTGCTATGTAATGTAATGTGACACCAGTAAGATTGTGCACGGTAAGAGCATACTACCTGAGTGATTGTTGTTGAGTAAATAAGAAAATAACGAAATAAGTAAATAAGAAATACGGAGTCTGTAATAAGCCCAGGAGTTGAACCTGGTAATTATACAGTATGTTAATAATATCTATTTTCCCCTTTGATTTTATATTAATAAACTTAGTCTTTGAGTATTTTAGGAGTATTCATTTCTCCCACAGTAGTTACCTTTATTTCCGTCCAAGTGACCCTGATATCAGAAATACACTACCCATGTGCCTAGACCACCGACATGCTACCAAAATGAACTGAAGTAAGTAGAAAGAATAATTGAAAGAACTAAGACATGTGGTGGTTTCACCCTTCTTTCCCCTTATCGATCTGGTCAATGAAAAACCTAACCCAATGCCTAGTCCACTCTGCCCGCGACCTAACGATTTACATACTGTCCAGAGGGGGTCTGGTGGCAGCGACCCTTAGAAATTAATATGAGAGTGAAGTATTCCCCCTTAGAATTAGTGACCCCAGTCTGGCAGTATACATAAACCTTTGGCAAATGGTGTATCTGAGTGCCGGAACAAATTTGGTAGTCCTTTGGACTTCTTCAGTCAATTAGTAATCTTAGGCATATCTCGGGAACCAAGAAGAACTGCAATACTCCAACTGAGGGAACATTAAACCCTTGAAATGCCTTAATAGACACGGACCATACATGTATGTATGTATAGGATTTTCGTATTACAGTATTCCCACTAGTTCATTAACAAGACTCACCTTCTGACAACGATTCCAGAACGTCAGTTCGTTTAGTCCAACTTAAAATTAAAGAGGCTACCTTCTAAACTCAACAATAGGAGATTAATGTTATATTATTCTTGCGTTTCGCTTATACTGTTTGTAAGAACACGATTAAGATGAAGAAGCAATAATTTTCCAGGAAAAAAGTAAGAGGGTGAACTGAATGTTACCGTAATTAAAAGTAGCCTAATATACACAAGACTGGCTCTTAGATTTCATGGACAGAAGCGTAAGACCCAAATTAAAGATAAAAGTTCAAAAGTAAACTTACCCGGGTGGTTTGTGCAGGTGGGTGATCGTCCAGTTTTGTGTGGGCGAGGCATCTGACCCCGGATGGTGTTTGAGGGTACTGGCTCACCTGTTGCTTTAATTGAAACTCCTTTCGGGTTTTCTCCAGCATCGAGACTGCTGTGAATATGCTGGAGTCTACAGGTGAAATGTTCTCTTTGTCAGCTAATTTGTCTTCACAAAGGGGGACTTTTTTTTTATCTTGTGCAAGTGGAAACAATTTGCGAACAGGAAAAGATAGTGGTGCAATGGGCAATGAAGGCGGAACAATGGGGAACGCCGTGTTTGGAGTGATCAATTTACTCCTAAAAGTATTCAAAACTTCCTGTAGAATGGCCCTTGTTGGACGGGGTGGAGCGGTAATCTTCATGGTCATCCCTGACGTCCCCGTGGGTTGAATGTGATCCTTCTCTAGCCGAGGCATCTTGCGTGCTGACTGTTGCTGTTGATCATAAGCCTCCTCACCATCGGTGCAGCCCTCCTTAAAACTTGTTTCATGGCTGTTGATATCATGACTGGATGCAAATTCTTTGCCATTAGGCGAGTTAAGTGAAAATATACTCTGAGCCTGTCGGTCGTGGCGATGACGAATGTACACAGCGTTCACCCTCATCACTGCCGTCCCGTACCCCAATCACTACGCCTTCTGCAGGGGAAGACACAAAGGCATATTATCACCAACTGCAATAATTTCCTGCAACTTAATTATCGGTTAATAAAATGACACGAACACACAAAAAAATCCTTCGTAAATATGATATTGCAATCGTGATATTTTTCATAGCATAACCACCTTAACCAGTACGTAATTTAAATGCCTAGCTAATGTCGAATGTGTCCCTGAAATTAAAATTTACTTGCTCTAAATTGTTGGAATCGCACCCTGCTCTTCATGTACAAATACTAGGAATGTTTAAAACTCGGGTATTTACCCTGACCATTACAACTGGTTAACAAGAAACGGCCACTGATAAATAAATCTGAATGTAAAAACCAAGCAAAGCAAAAAATAATGAAATCGGCGGAATGCATAAAGAATTTCCATAATATTGTTAAAATCTAAAGTATTTGCAATGAAGTTAAAAAAAAGTGAGTTGAAGCTGTTCAATAGAAATGCAAAATATTGCAATTCAGACTAGACCATTTTAGAGTTATACAGAACTGTGTTGCACAGCTGAGATCATATTGCCAACGAGGTCCTATATTGCATCCAAGACCACAAATTGCCAAAGGACCTATGCTGCATATCAGACCACATAATTTTTACCAACCAAGAACCAGTGGAGTTTTACATAACGTTGAAAATTACAATATAACAGCAACGTTGAGAATTCCCTATAGCCCTATGTGTTAAGGCTAAGGTAACTTCATTGTCCATATTATTTTAATCATACGACACCACAAGAAATCGTTATACATGTACTATCATTTCTTTTGTACTGATATGAAATGGAAATGCTTTGTACTTCATATTTTCCAGTGTATTTGAAGGTATGAAGCGGCTGTGAACGTTGTGAAAAAATCAGCCTAGTCTAACCCATTTACCTAACGTAGTGCAAAGATTACAAAAAGTATATTTGGCGTCATCGGTGTGCCCGATTTCAGAAATTTTCCTTCAATTACTCTCAATTCTTGCTCATTTAAACTATGTTTTTCCTATCACTGTATGGTAAAATGTTTATTTTAATTATGACAGGAAATTTCAATGCGCTTGATAATTGTCGCAAGCCCATACAAAAACAGCATCAACCATACCTCTCACTTCTCCAGATTACATATGTAACATAATGAACTGAGAGCTGTAGTTCTTAGTATACTGTACAATACTACCAAGTAGGCCGTTGGCTACGCTTCCAGTCAGAGTACCGTCCTCATATTTGAGGGTTGGCGACAGTCCACTCTAAACGTTCTCGGACTGCTTTTACCAATCTCTTAGGTTTTATATCTAGGGATTCGCTTTTTAATTTCAATCATCCACCCCAGTCTTTAATAGCCAAATACAGTACCGTACAATCTAAATATAAGACTTGATTTGTCAAGATAATTTATTTTCCTATTTCTGTTTATTATACCCAACTGGCAATCACTCAATATACAGTATAAGATTCTCAGATAATTTAATCCGGGAATCGAGTGGCTTGTCTCAAGATCGTAAATAATATCTTCGTAAATGTTCTAAACCTATCCAATATTCGCCGATGGCAGTTACCACTCCAACCTTGTACAGTTGCGTAAATGTTCCTACACCCCTAGGTGTCGTCAAACGGAAATGTCGCAGTTGTAGTATCACTATTTATGAATGTATGGGTATTGGTCGTGTAACGGCTGACGTGATTGGTGGATAGGTTTGCTATAGGTCATCTAGTTTGGCTGTTTGGAGACAGGGGTTACCACAGATACTCTATATAGTCTTTGGGTTACCACAGGGGGTGTAGGAACACATTTCCACAAGAGTACATGTAATTTTATGCTTATGATTTTAGAAGGTGCTTGAAATACTTACCTTGGTGCTCAAGATTATGATTATATCTAAAACAAGTAACTATATGCAATAAAGCACGACTCATGTGTATCTTCACCACCTCCCACGAAGGAAACAACAAGACCGATTGCTCGATCAGCTGACAATGACAAACCGATGGCGCGCAAATCAGCGCAATGCAGGTGAAGTAACACTTTATGAAACTTGAAATCATTTATAAAATTGTATTGCTATGATTTATGTTATGTATTTCTCAATTTATTTTTTATATTTTTTATCATACCTACTTTAATAAAAAATAAAGTTTGAACAGAATGTAGTCAAGTAACTGTATCGCGATTCCCGCCGTGGAGTTCCTGAATGAAAAGCAAGATAAGAAATTTATAGCAAGCTGTTTTCTTTGAACAATTCTAACTTCTAACAATTGAACCCTTTCGCTGCCATTCCCACACTTACTATTTTATTCTGGCAACCACCAGACGATTTTATTTAGCTTAGCCTTAGGGTAACCTTCCGCAGCCAAAGCTAAGGGTTAACATAAACTAAATTTTAAGGTAAAGCTAGGATTCCTTTCACGCGTTTGCAGTGCGTTTGCATTTTCAATCGCTACAGGGAGCGATTGGCATGTACTGCCAACGCATAATGCTAACGCAACCGTGCCAATGTAAATAACCGTGTACATTTCAATGTGATCTATTTTTGGCGCTAACGCTAACGCAACCGCTAACGTGTAAATGGAACCCTAGCTTAAGTTTGTTTACTTTTACTTTACTTTTATCCTTTTCGCTACTGATCAGCTCGTTAGCTGTTTGGACAGTTGATCACGTCTCTGTTACGCACTGTGAATGATAAGACAACGAGTTTATCACTGCTATCGATTATAGCCAGTGTGCCAGAGCGAAACATTCGCCACGAGAATTCGGAAATCTAGTGAAATTTCATAGCTCCTGGTTCGATGCTATTGTGCGCATTCGTATAAACCTTTAATGATTGGAGACATGTGTTGTGTTAAATTTGTAATCACAGTAGATAGGTTGAAAAGATTTAAATCAGACGTGTAAAGATATTCCTGAAAAATGTGATGATACATTTAATGAATAATGTGCTAAATTTCTAAACATAAGATAATATGCTGAAAACATTAAATTCACTAATATAATATATTTTTGTTGCATAATGCACGCTGTTACTTAATTAATGGTGTTTCCTGTTACACAAGAGATTTTCGCTTCGCAATTTGATGCTACAATGGATGAATAATAATTTATGTTACATTTTGGTCTCATAATTATGTTGAAAACACTTATAAAAGGTTTGGGCTTCATAAATTGAAAGTACAATTGATGACTAATGGTTTTTGCGATTTTTTATGACATTAAATTACGTTGAAAATATAAAAATTTGTTTTATTATTTCATGTTACAATAGAGGAATAATATGTTTGCTATTCTTTTAATCATGATATGATAATTCTGTCAGTAATGTACTGTATATGCCCTAAATATCGATCGGTAAAAATAGCACGGGATTCTTTTTATTACAGAGTTTGTAGTAAATTTTTATGTCTGGTGAAATCTGGTGACATTTTTTTAATTGTTTGATGTAGGCATTTTAGAATCTGGCAACATTGATTATACGTGGCATAGTGTAGTTGCACCAGGTTAGTACACGGCATGTGACGTTCAGTAATATCGTTTTCTATGTTTCCACAGATGTCAAACCCCGTTACTGTATATAATCTATATTTACAAAACTTCTTTATTCAACTTTGTATATATCATAAGTTATAGAATATTGAGAAAAAATGACTAACACCATCACTATACGACGTACACTGACGACTTTCGATGGTTGCATCACGTTTGGCAGCTCAGCATTCTGGTGAGGGGGATTCTGAGGGTTTGTGAGTGTATAAAGACCGGACTTCGGGCCGAATCATGTATTGCACATCCTAAGGTGCGGTGTACCATAACCATCCGATAATTATTATTTTTTTGTGAAATTAAGAAACAATCCTGAGTTCAACCGAATCGACAGGTGCTGAAACTTCAATAAGTATGTCCTTTGAAGACTTGGTAACTGATCCTTGCCGAGCAGTTAACAAATTAGAAACAGAGGAAGCAACGACAGCCACCTGTGATGAGAATACAGTTATGGAAAATGTGTGTTCTCATTACTTAGAAGGAAAGTGTAGATTTGGCGACGACTGTTTCAACTTACACCCACCTAACGTTGAAGTGAAAAAAGTTACTACTACAAAACACAGTACTCAAAACCAAAATAAATCGGCAAAAAATACCCGAAAAGTACCACCAGAGGTAGAAAACGAAAAAAAGAAACCTCTAAAGACAGCAGGAGATGTGAGAAAGAGGATACAATGGGACCCGGAACTTCAGAAAGAATATTTCACAGTCGGATATTTAGACAGATTTATTGGTGTCGTGGAGAAACCTTATACAGCATTTTCCTGGGAACATCTCTCCATGGTGGACCTGGACCAGCTGGCTGTGCCACAACATCGTATCCAGTACTATAAATATAAGGGTACTAAAGTGTGGGACAAAAATGAGCGACTAGATCATGTATTTGGGAGTGCAGGAAATGGCATTACCATTCAACAAGTTATTCGAGAAGTTGATGCAGAGATTGAAAAAAATACTCAGACTTTCGATTCAGACGAAGATTCTTCAGATGATGAACTGATAGTGCTGGGAGGAGTCTCAAATTCTGGAAGAGGATTAATATCAAATATTTGTGAGGGACAGGGACCAAAGGAAGTATTTCTCCGTGCCACACACTTTTTCTGCATTAAAGTAAAAAACGATCAAGTGAAATCAACTGCAGCGAAGGTGCAGGAATATGTGGTGCAGGGAGAACCTGTCCTTCGCAGCTGTGTCATGCCCAACGAGTTACTACACGTCACTCTTGCTATGGTCCGTATCGAAACACCCGAGGCTATGACTGAGGCTGTCAATATTCTGAATGATTTACAAGGCAGGATTGAGAAATTACTTGGACCAACACCAGAAGATGTTGAGGAAAATCCAGAACGTATCATCAGAGTTCGAGGACTGTCCACATTCGGTGCCAGGGTGTTGTATACGAAACTCCAAGTCCCATCCTCCTTTACTGTCATCGTGGACATGTTGTACGAGGCTCTTCGTCGCGTCGATGGTATCACGGTAACCAATCACTTCGGCTTTGTGCCCCATATGACACTGCTCAAGATTAACAGGCCTACAGCTCGGGAACGCCGCTCAAAGTACTTCAACTCTAGCCTCTATAGTGATTACCTTGAATGCGATTTTGGCACTATTGTGTTCAATAACGTCCATTTCTGTTGTATTGAAGATTTAAGGGGCCCTGATGGATTTTATGTCACTTGCAGAAAGATTGAATTTTGATAATACACACAACGCTATTGTAATACTGGTGATAACAGATTATTTAATCATGTGAGATGTGTCACTCCTATAAACTCCACCTATTACCAAATTTTACCATACAGTAGCAGCACCATTTATCATTTCAGCTGATGTCTTATCTCAATGATTAGTGATAACTGATAATGGAATGGTGAAACATTTCATTTCATGCTAAGGCCCAGACAAATTGTATTTTCTGTTTTAGTTAATTTTGTCTTCAAAGTTCAATGTTGGGAATTGGAATAAAAAAAAAATGGTGAATCTATAAAATCTACAAATGTAATGATTTAGACATGTAATCCATATTAGTGCCTAGCCTATTTTTCAGAGAATGATTCATTGATTTTCAGTTGAACCTCTATACAGTACAGGGTACTGTATTTGTAATTGATGATGATGAGTGCAGTTACTACCTATAATCTCTAATATGAATGCAAAGACCATAGCTGTTTTAAGTGTAGTACAGCAATTCATTATATAATAATTTTAACATCAAAATATTCATTGTAATGATATTTCTAGGAGTTCTGATTGTGTTAATGTCATAAATTAATATACAGTACTGTTGTTTGATTAAATGTTTTTTTCCTTATCCACATTTCACTCCCTTAAGGTTTCTGCTGCTCTCTTTGAATATTAGGGTGACAATAGCTGATTTCCACTCCTGGCACTTTCTCTTGATCCAGAGCTTTCCTGAGAATGAGTCTTAGTGAAATAATTATCTCGAGCACTACCTCTTTTGTTCCCTAGGTTTGTGACCTCTTCACTCTTGGAGTTTTGAATTCCTTCAGTTTTCTTTTATTTCATCTATGATTACTATTTAAATTAATTTCAACCCCTGAAGTATACTGTATATCCTCAGGGAGATAGTCTCCAGAGTCTTCTGCATGAAATACATTTATCCCTTTAGGAGTTCAGAGGGTATATGCTGTCTGCTTCATTGTCCTCCAAATCCAGGGCTTTTTTCTTTTGGTGGCCAACACCATCTTTCAACTTCATCTTGCTTCGGGTATATACAGTATATTAAAAACATTGGGATATTCATTCAAAATTTGGGGCAGCTTCTTGCATAATATTTTTGCTGATCAAATTTCTTGATTGCTCACATTTAGGGTTTACCTGTATGGCTTTAGCCTACAGAATATTTCTTGCTTTAGTTAATTATCCACAGGTGATATTTATTATAGTGGCTCTCCTTGCTTTGTAGTTCACCCATCTAAACTTCCTTCCTCTTCCTTGACTTCCAGATTACACATTTTCTACTGTTGCCTCACCTAACCTAATTTATTCTCAGTAGTTTTTTGCAATTGCACTGGAAGTCACCATGGACGAAGTCATGATATTCTTCCTGCTATATTTTATCCCAATTTTAAAAGCTTGTATGCCAACCTGTACATATTATACTGTAAGTGGAAGTTATTGACAGGAGTGCATTTTTCCTCTAAGTGGACCTTGTCTACTGTTGTTCAATAATCACTGATTAAAGGTTTAGCCTGAAAAACAATACCTTTAATTAACTGATTGAATTAGACCTTGTTACACACACAAAATGTGTTTTGGCAGCTGTAAGTACAAAAGGTGTCTGAAGGATATACATATAATGTAATAGTTATTTTTTATAAAATAATATTGTAATTACTCATACACATCAGTTGGAGTATTTTGCTGGCTAGTGTATAAATCACATAAACTGTACAGTATAATTAATAATTCTGCATCTTTGGAATGAAAATTATTATTCATAGAATTTCTGTACTGTAAGTGTTCATATTATTGCAATTTTTCAAAAAATTAAATAAACAAATAATGTACAGGTAGTTCCCAAAACTATTTCCTGTATCTCTGTATGGGGTTACCTCTGAGCTGAATAAAATTGCATGGCCTTAGCCAAATAAAATATTGAAAGTGGCATCACTATAGTGAAGGGGTTGGTGGAGATATTCTACTAACCTTTATATACAGGGTCCCCTCTAAGCTGAATAAAATTGCCTGGCATTAGCCAAATTAAATATTAAAATTTGAATCCCTGCAGTGAAGGAGGTTAATGAATCCATCAATCATGTCTACAAGCACAGTACAATTATACTATACAGTAAGTCCTAGCTTAACGTCGAGGTTATGTTCCTGAAAACTCAACGTTATACGAAATAACGTTAAGTGGATCATTTTTCCATAAAATGTAGATAAAACATGGGAGTTACGTTCCTGAGCCTCCCTTTGCCCCATGAAATACATTACATATACAGATACAGAAATTCAATGGAATTTTTTTAGAAAATAGTATATACAGCTGCTCCTCGACTTACGACGGGGTTAGGAACCCAGATCCAGGTCGTAAGTCGAATATATATATATATATATATATATATATATATATATATATATATATATATATATATATATATATATATATATATATATATATATATATATATATATATATATATATATATATATATATATATATATATATATATATATATATATATATATATATATATATATATATATATATATATATATATATATATATATATATATATATATATATATATATATATATATATATATATACACACAGTGGGGTATGCTATAACGAACGGATCCTACTACGAATATTCCTATAACGAACGGTTTTACCTATAAAATTGAGAATGCTATAACGAACGAAACTCCTACAACGAACATTATTTAATTTTTTTTTTTTACTAATTTATTGTTTTTTTATTACAAGTATTAATGATATTCTTTATTTCAGGGGTTTAGATGCATATTTATGCACTTTTTTACAATTTTTACAATTTTATATTATATTTTTCAGTGTTAAGTGGTTGTATTTGGGGGCCTGGAACGATTAATCCTATAACGAACGAATGCTATAACGAACAAGGTTCTAGAACCAATTAGATTCGTTATAGCATACCCCACTGTATATATATATATATATATATATATATATATATATATATATATATATATATATATATATATATATATATATATATATATGCTGATAACCACAAGGAAAGAAGAAAACACGAAGTTCCCAAGCGCTTTCGTGTAATTCACATCTTCAGGGGTGAGTACAGACTAAGGAGAAGTACAAAACAAGGTATATATACATAGAGGAGGGTGAGATCAAGTCCACAATGGTCAGGTATTAGGTAATGATCCTACTAATCTTCAAAAAGCACCGCAGCAGTCGGTAGTCAGGTCAGAGGGTAAGCTGACCCAACCTTCTCACCTGGTTACAAATCTTCTTAATTACGAAATTATCCAGTTTGTACATACCATTACTCAAATTCATGTTGACGGATTCGGTATGTTTAATGAGACTAGATTCTATAATGTTCCTACTGTCAATTGAATTACAAGGTAATATTGATCTCACCCTCCTCTGTATATACAGTATATACCTTGTTTTGAACTTCTCCTTAGTCTGTACTCACCCCTGAAGATGTGAATTACACGAAAGCGCTTGGGAACTTCGTGTTTTCTTCTTTCCTTGTGGTTATCAGCATATATATATATATATATATATATATATATATATATATATATATATATATATATATATATATATATATATATATATATATATATATATATATATATATATATATATATCAACAACCTCACCCCGCCAGGACTCGAACCCACGATCTTATGTGTGTGACCAGGGAACGCTACCTATACTAATTATCCTAGACTTTGTAATATATATACAGTCGACCCTCGTTAATTCGGACTAATAGGGGGGAAGGGTGTCGTTTTAGCCGATTGTCCGAATTAACCGATTTAGGGGTTAATATTGCATTATATTTCAAAGTCATTGTTTTCGTCACGATTTTATCCCACTTTCCACTGTAATACGTACGTATTTCAGCAAAAATATTACATTTCCGTGAATGTATTATATCAAGCACAGTATGAATAGAATATCATTGTAATATAACAGTATTTTAACCGAAAACTAGTAAAAAAACGAATAACATCTCAAGAACATTGGAAGCTTAGGTAAAGTCTTTTGTTTTCGTCATGTATTTTATCCTATTTTACATTGAAATATATCACGTTTCAGCAAATTTACTATTTATTTCCGAGAATATATTCATTCAGGCGCAGTTTCGGTAAAATATACGAGTGATGTAACAGTTTTTTAACTGAAAACGATTCGAAAAACACGTACCCTCTAGCCCTGTTCAAGGAGAGGACTGGGAGAAGCTGTTTGGTGCTGCAGACGATGACAAGGAAAATGATTTGGATGGATTTTAATGAAAATATTCAGAAATATGGTATCGTAGTATTTATTCAAGTCAATTAGGATAGAATATTATTGTAATACAACAGTTTTTTAACTGAAAACCAATCGAAAAGCGATTACGGTAACATCTTTTGAACAAAAGAAAGCGAGTCATTGTTTTCGTCACGATTTTATCCCACTTTCCACTGTAATACGTACGTCATTTCAGCAAAAATATTACATTTCCGTGAATGCATTATATCAAGCACAGTATGAATAGAATACCATTGTAATATAACAGTATTTTAACCAAAAACTATTAAAAAAACGAGTAACTTCTCTTGAACATCGGAAGGTTAGGTAAAATCTTTTGTTTTCGTCATGTATTTTATCCTATTTTACATTAAAATACATCACGTTTCAGCAAAACTACTATTTATTTCCGAGAATATATTCATTCAGGCACAGTTAAGGTAAAATATACATGTGATGTAACAGTTTTTTAACTGAAAACGATTCGAAAAACACGTGTACCGTCTAGCTGATTGATACTCAACAGCTGGTGGTGCGTCATGCGTCGTTGTAAACAATAGGAGGTTGAAGTAGATTACCGGGTATTATATTAAGTGTGAAATATCGAAAAGGTTTTTATTACCGGTATTTTTTGTAGATCAATGAGAACTGTGATACCGTATATGATATGATAAGTTAGCCTGTGCTAAGAACTTCAACATAGACTACTGAAAACACGTTGTAAGGTAATTTAGCCTATTGTAAGTTGGTGAGCTTCATTTGCTGAAGGAACTGCACAACTTTTCATTACTAATTGGTACATATTTCACGTTTCCATTGTTTACTGGCAGTAAATGGTAAATATTTTTCATGTCTGAAGCTAAAAGTTGCATCCCCCCCCCCACACTAGTGGTGGAGATGTTACATTTAACCAAAAAGACGCTGGTGTTTTATCCCAGCAGTGGGTGGACCAGCATTTTAGCTTAAGGTCCGCATAGGTAATATTCCTGAAAATCTAAAAAAAAAAAAAAAAAAAAAAAAAAAAAAAAAAAAAAAAAAAAAAGGCGTTCAGATTTTGTCCGAAATCCGGATTAAAGGGGTCCGAATTAACGAGGGTCGACTGTATATTTCATTAGCCCATATAGCGCGCAGACTTCTACATATAATCAACAACCTCACCCCGCCAGGACTCGAACCCACGATCTTGTGTTAATGCTTGATTAAATAAGCTTTGTGTCGTTAAATATACAGCAAGTCCTCGTTTAACGTTGCCCCGACAACGTTGTTTCGTTATACGTCTCTACTCTTTAGATACCCATGATTCAGACAACGTCCAGCCGATTCAGTATAACGTCGTCACAGACTACTTTGTACGGCGCATCACCCTCTCTCACCCAGTCAGAGCCACCCTCCGGGTCTCAGTGACTCGCCATCCTTCCCCCCCTCTCCACTACCCACCACACACTCACTCCACCCATCAGTGAGTACAATACAAAATGATTTAGTTTATTTATCTTTTTGAATGTATAATATATAATATTTTCCATAAAAATTCCATTGAATTTATATATATGTAATGTATTTTATGGGGCAAAGGGGGGCCGGGGAACGTAACTCCCGTGTTTTATCTATTTCTTATGGGGAAAATTAATTCCGCTAAATTCGCGGTTTTCAGGAAAGGAACCACGTTAAACGAGGACTTACTGTAGCACTGTATTAGCCGCATTCTGACCCAGAAACCTTGCTCAAAATCATCAAGAATTCATGATCATGATCGTTCAGTAAAATTGCTCCAAAAACTTAAAACAAATTTCTGGGAAATTACTCAAAATACCTTTCAGTCCAGAAATTGCTAATAAAAGTGATTGTGTGACTGTGGCTTTAATGACCTAAAAAGAACTTCATAGATATAATTTCTTTCTACACTCAAAATCAACATATAAAAGTTCAGAAATTATTTACTGTGCATCATACATTACCAAGAGAAATGCTGCTTAATATTTAAGCTATACAAGAATTTTGAAAATTGCATGAAAGGGTTTATACTTTAGTGCAATATTAATTCTTTTAACAAATATTTCACCCCACTCCTCAAAAAAAAAAATAAAAATAAAAAAAAATAAAAAAAAACTACAGTATATGCAAATGAGAAAAGTCTTGTTCCATAATTTTAACGAAACAGCACATGTGAAGATATTCTACATATGTTATATTGAAACAAGGATACAGGTATACCACACCTAAAATGGAATTAATACTAATATTTCACTCTGGGACAGAAGTGGCTCACACAATTCATTACTAAATACAAATACAATGTGGTGCTTGAAAACTGCTTTTATAATTCCTGGATATTTGCCTTCCTTCAGCTTCTTAGTAATCATATCTTGGTGCCTTCTCCCTGAAAAAGAAAGATGTCTGTCAAGAAGTATCCAATGGACAACCTATGATAACATAATTGTTGGTTATAAATCTCCATTTCAAAACTTACCATTTCTGAAGAATAACTACATACCATGAAATAGTAACAGTGGGTCCCCTAAGCATTAACTGCCCATTAGGTACAGTGTGGAACTGCAGATACAGCACACTATGCACTAAGCCTTCAGAAGAAAAGAGGCAGCATGGTTGGTACTGCACTCGACTGCCTTCACTTGTAAAGTTAGGTACCCATTTACAGCTGGGTGGACTGGGTGTGCACAGGGATCAAACTATCGACCCATAGGACAGGAGAGGAGTGCTGTGTCAACTCTACCGCAACACTCCAATTACCATAAAGCTCTGTAAATCCTACTCGAAAGTGTGTTTCAGACATACATAAGGGTGAATGACCCCATGACCATAGTGACAATACCCCATTTCAGAATTATACCACAAAATTGGGTAGGTAGGGACTGCAACAAGTCTATGGAGATATAGTAAACTCTCGCACTTATGGACAATTAGGGAGGAGAGGGTGCCTGGATGAACTAGGGGATGAAGGCCCATTAATGATAATCATAATATTGTACATGGATTTCACTGACAAGGGTAATAACAATAATAATGGTATTAAATAATAATAGTGATGATAATACAATAATAACAACAATAATAATAATTATACAGTACCAGTGTATTAATCTATAGACAGTAATGTTATTATTACTGTATATCAATACAATATTATTTTAACTAGTCTCCTTTTATTTTAATACAGCTTGCAGAATCCAATGGTTGTCGTAGAGGTCGAAGAATTGGGACTACAGGTACTCCCCGACTTACGACTGACTCGACTTACGTCCACCCGCACTTACGACCTGCCTCAGTCGTACCAAAATTTGGTCAAATTATGTATTTTTGAGTCCCAAAGTCAGTACACAGACAAACTTTTCATCTGCAATTCACTTTAAAATGGCTGGCAAGCTTAAAAGTGAGTGTTTTGTGGTGCTGAAATGAAAAAGAGACCCAAATTTTCGATTTTCTGTGTGTTATTTAAGCATTTCCGACTTACGACCTGGATGTCGGTCCCTAACCCCGTCGTAAGTCGGAGAGTACACCTACCTGTATATTTCATTGCAAATGACTGCAGGGAACCCTGAATATTTCGTATATCAGACACCGTTTGCTTAGAGATGCCATATTCACGACAACATCTTGCTACAGACCAACCACTCTCTAACTTCTGAAGCAACTCCAGCTTCTGAGCTGCGGTAAGCTGCCTGCGCTTCCTTTTGGTTGTCATCACTACACAACAGTGACAAGGCACAAGAAATCAGGCACAAAAACAGTCACAAGGCACAAAATACACAGGAACAATAAAAGGACATGATCAAGAGGTAGCGGGATGGTGTGTACACACCGAGACTACAGGCGAGACTGAGGAGGGATGCGTGCTGTGACTAGCGGTGGGAGATGCGGACTGGGTCTGTTTTAGTAGCGGGGGAGTAAACATGGCATTCGGACTGAGAGAGAGAGAGAGACCGGATAGGAATTTGCCACATCCACACGTCGTCCAGACCAACTAAAATCCGGATCTGAGAGGTCAGTAAGTGAGAGGGTTTATTGTATAACATAAAATATAAAGCCCTACTTAAAGTACAGTAAGTGGAAACAGTTGAATGGGTTTGTTGACAATCCACACGCAGTGACGCATGCATTTTATCAGATATGATTCGCAATCAATGTTTGGGGCCAGCATTATTGCCGACCATTTTATTGGCCAAAACAAGTGGTTTAGGTGCAGTTCCCATCAACAAGAACTACATTTCATGAAAGTATTTAAAAGTCTTATTCAATAAGAATAAATTTTTATATAAAAAAACTCTGAACAAAATAAAAATTTATATTACGCATTTTGAATTATGACATACTATACAGTACTTACGGAGCTCCAGAGCCTGAATCATTGTCTTTACGTCTTTTCAGGATCTGCTGGATCTGTTGCCATTCCCTGTTTAGTTCAGCATTACGGTCCTTTTCCTTGTTGCCTCCTATGCGGCGAGTCTTCCGACCATCAGCCATCTTTACACCATACTGGAAAGCAGCTTTTGGCATAGCTTCTCGCTGATTCATGTAATCACTGTATTCTTCCTGGGTATCAAAGTCCCAACGACCAACGGGACCTTTCTTGTTCCCCTGCATTTAAAAAAGCACAAAAGAGGAATTAGGTCTTCTAAATTAAATCTTACATACTCTGTGTACAGTACTGTCTATGATAATTATAATATTTTTGCCCCCAGGCCCTGATGTAGGTCATTGACCTGTGCCATGGTGGGCTAATCCCGTATAGGAAAAAAAATAGTTATATAAAAGGGAAGCTATTAGGCTAATTGCTATTTTCCTTAATAAATGAATATGTTTTACTGTACAGTACTGGATGAAAAAAAAATGGTATTAAAACACTTGATTTGGTTAAGAATCTCAAGGGCTAATGACAGGAAAATCAGTTGGCAACCCCATGTACCTCAGTCTTTATTCAGCCTGCATACATATCACACACATTATTGTAGACTTTACCCTATATTCTTTGTCCCTCAAAGATTTTTTTTAAGTTCATTTACATTTCTTTTGATTCAAAATGTTTTGATTTAAAAATGTTTGTTCATAAAAAGCTGTTATGTGAGTCACACTCCACCAATTTCATTCTTTTTCCTCTTCATCCTCCTTTAAAGCTACATTTTCTATTGCTTAGCAATTTAGACTTTTTTTTACAGGATTAGCCCACCAGGGCACAGGTCAATGACCCACATTAGGGCCATTTTTCCCCCTTTCCATGTTTATATTCTATTAATGAATGATATTATAAAAGAACACATAAAAACTAAGAATAATACAGTGTATCAAATTGTAAAGCAAAACGTCAGTTATGTTGGTGTTTTTGAACCTACTACCCCCTAACCCCTTAAATCCCATTGAATCAAACTGTTACTATAACACAATTTTCCATAACACAATGTTCTTCAGGAATGCAACTACTGTGTTACAGGAGAACTGATTGTACAATGAACTGAGATATATGATTAAGAAAAACTCAAGATAAAAATTTATAGAGAACTAACCATGTCCATCTTGGTGTAATCAGCTTCATCATCTGAATCATCAATGGCATCCTGCATCTCTGCCATACCAGGATAACATTCTGTATAGTAGTCATCCCCCACCAGCAGACTATTAACTCTGAGGAGAAAAAATGTGGTTTGGGTGAGCAATATTTATATATTTGAATGAAGGATAAAGAGTTCCACTGTGGTACCAGGTAATATCTGAATAAAATCTGAAAACAAAAACTAAGCAAAGGAGTAGGGTTTGCCATGCTAGTTTTCAAGTTGATAATTAAGTCCAGTTAGGTATAGATATGAGGGTAATCTCAATTTAGCAAGACATTTAACACTAGTTAAGTTGTAAACCAATTCAACTCAGTGACCAAAAGAAATGAACTTCGAATATCTTCCTAAGGCATGATTTTCTCAGATTTTTCTACCCAAAAGGTAGCATTAGAAATAATACTATTTTCTTGGATAATAATTCAGGTGAAACCTTTGTAAACCAGCCTATAGAAGTAAAAAAAAATTAGGAACAGGTCTCACAGACCAGACTGGATACAGACATTTTAATAGTCTTTACAAAAATAATGATTTATGAAGATCTTAAAAAAATCTGTAACATATAATACTGATATAATAATGTGTAACAGCCAATGCTTTGCACTATCCATCCCAGAACAAGAGATAATGTGGCAAATGAAGCAACTACCTGTATATAGTAAAACTATGAGAACAGGTTACATAACCACCCATATTGATGGCCACTGGAAGCAGCAGATTTAAGTGTTGAAGCACGAAGTTTCACCATTATGGTTACCAAGAGTCTAACATGAGTACATGGAAATGGAATCTTACTGCTTTGGTGGTTGCTGTTGTGTTGCCAACTGTTGTTGACCTTGAGGTTGCTGTTGTTGTGTTAGCTGTTGTTGAGACTGCTGGGGCACTTGAGAGATTTGTTTGTCAGCTTTAATATCTGCTCCAGTGGGCCATTGTGTCTGTAACCTTTCTTCTGCAGCACGCATCTCATTCTTCACTTCTTCATGTGCTGACCGGCTGAAGTACGAACGAGGTTTTCGTTCTCGTTCATGATCTCGATCACGATCATGACTAAAATAAAATACAGTATGAGCTAACAGTACATGACAATAATTTTTTATGTATTAAATTAATTAAATATACAGTATTACCCCGCCTAACGCGGTTTCACTTAACGCGTTTTATCATATACGCGGTGCCTCGCCAGAGCTGAACTTTCACTTAACACGGATTTTTTCCACATATACACGGTGAGTGTCCGGCTCGAGACGCTATTTTTAGATTTGCGCCACCCGCCACCCTGCCTGACTGCCTGTTTTAGCTCATAAAATTCATACAAATTACCCGGCCAGAATATAATTTACATTGCTGGAATTCTTATAATTTGGTGATCATTTTGAATATAAACATCATATATTTTGCATTAGACATACAAATTTTAGATAACATTTTTTCTCTGGGTAACTATGTTATCTTTTGTGCAAAATATATGACATTTATATTCAAAATATTCCTGGTCTTACAAGGAATCCAGCAATGTCAATTATATTATCCTAACTTTAGTTTGAGGTATTATTTATTACAAAAAAGTTAAGTATTCTGGTTTTCCCACACATCTCCTTGGGACGGTTGGTGGGGGGTGGGGGGGAGGGAGGGACCGACCGACCATCTGTTACCCCGTGAAGAATATTTTTTTTTTTATTAACTGAAGATATTTGTTTTAGCTCATAAAATTCATACAAATTACCCGGTCAGAATATAATTTACATTGCTGGAATTCTTATAATTTGATGATCATTTTGAATATAAACATCATATATTTTGCATTAGACATAAAATTTTTAGATAAAATGTTTAATCTGAGTAAGTATGTTATCTTTTGTGCAAAATATATGACGTTTATATTCAAAATATTCCTGGTCTTACAAGGAATCCAGCAATGTCAATTATATTATCCTAACTTTAATCTGAGGTATTATTTAATACAAAATGTTAAAATTTATTTTTTTCACCCACTCTTCTCTTGAAGGGACGATTGGTGGGGGGTGGGGGGGAGGGTTGGGACTGACCGCGCGGTTGGAAGAGGGGGGAGGCAAGGTGGGGTACTTTGATTGACAGATAGTGTCGTGAAGATTATTTTTTTTTTTATTAACTGAAGATATTTGTTTTAGCTCATAAAATTCATACAAATTACCCGGCCAGAATATAATTTACATTGCTGGAATTCTTATAATTTGGTGATCATTTTGAATATAAACATCATATATTTTGCATTAGACATACAAATTTTAGATAAAAATTTTTTCTGAGTAACTATGTTATCTTTTGTGCAAAATATATGACATTTATATTCAAAATATTCCTGGTCTTACAAGGAATCCAGCAATGTCAATTGTATTATCCTAACTTTAGTTTGAGGTATTATTTATTAAAATTTAGTGGTTTTCCCCAAAAAATTTCTCAGAGAGGGAAGAGCCGGCAGTGTAGTGTGAGAAGAGGGGGAGGGAGTTGAGTCCATTATTTGAATGGACATTAACTTGGCGACTGTATTTCTCTATTTCTCTTAAGTATTAATTGTGTGCATGTACCATCATAAAATTAAGATGTTATTTTTACTACAACATAGTTATGTGTCTTCAAAAAGTGGAGTTTGGGGGTCGGGCTGGTTTCTATTGGAATTAATCCCATATGTTCTGTTGTTCACTTAACGCGGATTTCACTTAACGCGGATTTCACTTAACACTGGACCCTCTGGGTTCTATTGACCGCGTTAAGTGGGGTACAACTGTACAGTACAGTATGTGCACTATTGTAGTACTACAGGTATTTATTGATACATCTCATATAATAAGATATTCTTATCTTCAACACTGAAATTTTATTACTATTATTCATGCTGTATTTGAGCTACATCTGTTCTCTCCTCCAACAGTTATAAAATAAATAATAACAGTTATTTATTAATGTCTTGTGTGAAATCATGCTTATCACCTCAAAACAATGCACAGCCACAGTATGATAACATGATCTTATGATATTTAGCTTCATGTACAGCCAGTAGCAGTTTAATGTAGAGGGTGTCCATGATGAGTGGTAGTAACTTCAAATCTTAATAACTCAGTACTGTACTGTATGTATTGTAAATATAAAATTAAATAAATAAATTTTTTTTTAGCAAATCTTAAGATTTTGCAATGGCCTAAGAACGATCAGGACTTTCTTAATGTCTGGGCAAATCATGTGGAATGGGAGAGGAAATCCAATTCACTGATCCCTTCTTTAGTCTAACATAACCTCACAATTTCATTCTTTCTTTGAGGCATGTCAAAAATGCTGTACATTCACCTTGGGTGACAGTCTACACTGACCTCAATGACTGAATATAAATTAAAACTGCTATTGTGACACCAGAGATGCTGGCCAACAACTGGAGAGATGGAATATCATTTGGACATTGACAGACCTAAATGATAAGCATGCTGAAGTTTATGAATGTGAAACCACCCCGCTCACTGACATCATCAAGATGGCCGCCCAAAGTGACTATCAACTTACGTTACCGATCGTTATTGTGTTGAAATGTATCATTAACGTGTTGACGTGTGGCATTTCATTACTGTCGTTATTGTGATGACTCGTTAATGTGAAACTCGTTAGTGTGAAGTATGTACTGTATCCATTTACATCTGGGTGGACGGAGAGAGCCCGGGTCCGAACCAGTAATCCTTAGGACTAGAGCGAGTGCTATATCCTTTCTTTACATGGTAATAGTAAGATAAAAGATGACTAAATTTCTTAAATATGGCAAACAAAAACATACCGATCACGATCTCTGTCTCTGTCCCTGTCACGTTCACGACGATCCTTTTCTCTATCCCTGTCTCTGTCTCCTCTTTCTTTCTCCCGGTCCCTGCGATCACGTTCACGATCTCTGTCTCTTCCTCTTTCTCGGTCACGGTCACGATCTCCACGATCTTTGTCTCGGTCACTGGCCTTCCCTACAGATGGGACATAATCTCCAATTTCCCCATAGATACTGTCATCAGCTCCAGTCCTACCAGCCTGAAAGTAAAAGGGTACATATTATTTTTCACAGAACATAGATTGAAAAGCTATGTAAAAAAAAAAAAATAAATAAATAAATACAAAAATTAGAAATGATATGCATAAGATCTAAAGTTCACCTTATGCTAAATGACCTAAACGACAACACCAAGAACTGTAGTAGCCAATACACCCTGAAGTGTCTTAAAGAGTATGATGCTTAGTGCTTGTAATACATATACAAAGAGCAGGGAGTGTCAGTCTATTGCAACTGTCCTCTTGAAATATTACACAAGAAATTAATTAAAAACTGCCACATTCCCTATATCCTAAGATGACACACAGTAGTCTTGGTGGGTAGTATGCTAACTAGCACATTGCTCTAACATGGTCTAGCATTCAGAGGCAAATCCATCTCACCTGCAGTGATTTTGTGAAGAAATGGGAAGGGTAATTAGTGCCTCCAAATTGATTAATAGATCAACCCTGGTTGATATCATAGGGAGTCTGAAGATACAGAACCTACAGTAAGTAACCCTGAATTACAAGAGCTGTCTGGCTTGAAAGCAAAAGCCAGAAATAAAGCAGCTTTAAAGGCACGGATGTAACCTGAGTTGAATCCCGTCACATTAACTTGAAATTTCATTCTAAAATTTTTTGTTGCAATGATCTAAGATATGGTAACAGCACCCCCAAGCAAACTGGTTTTATTATATCTATCGCATTTTTAAGACTTTAATTCTACAGGAAAAGTTGACAAAAGAAAGAAATACTTACAGCTTCATTTTTGCCTTTGTCTTTCTTTTTTTGTTTCTTGTTGGCACGTCCAGTGCGGAGATATGACAAAATCTGAGTGAGTTTCTGGATCACAATGTCATTCGTCGTGAATGTTGCTTGCATATTCTAAAAAGAAAAAAAAAGGCATGTAAAAAATCTGAACACAATATTGTACTGTGTAAATAAAATCAGTTCTAATCAAGATAAAAAAAATAAAATAAATAAATAATCCCGAATAGTTTATCTAAAAGTTTGGTTAAATAACTACAGTATATACTCATGTATGTATGTGTATATGTATATATGTATGTATATATATGTATGTATGTATGTATGTATATATATATATATACTTCATTTTTAGTCCATATAACACGCGGACTTTGAACATATAATCAACGACCTCACCAGCAAGGAATCGAACCCTCGACCTACTGGGTGGGACTAGGGAACGCTTACCGGCTAACCCACAAGGACACTAAAAGCAGTCCTAGACTCTGTTATATTTCACACAAAGCCTGTTCATCGAGCTGATGGAGCCGTGAACCTCATTGGGAAACTGCCCGTGCCTCTTATGTGAATATATATATATATATATATATATATATATATATATATATATATATATATATATATATATATATATATATATATATATATATATATATATATATATATATATATATATATATATATATATATATATATATATATATATAGAAAATCGCGTAATAGAAATAACAGGGCTTATGGAGAAAATAGGGTTAGGTGCAGATTACTCGAAATCGAAAAAATTTAGTAGTTAGCCTAACACAAAGGATAGCACAGTCTAAATACAGTGGGGTATGCTATAACGAATCTAATTGGTTCTAGAACCTTGTTCGTTATAGCATTCGTTTGTTATAGGATTAATCCGTTCCAGGCCCCCAAATACAACCACTTAACACTGAAAAATATAATATAAAATTGTAAAAATTGTAAAAAAGTGCATAAATATGCATCTAAACCCCTGAAATAAAGAATATCATTAATATTTGTAATAAAAAAACAATAAATTAGAAAAAAAAAAATTAAATAATGTTCGTTGTAGGAGTTTCGTTCGTTATAGCATTCTCAATTTTATAGGTAAAACCGTTCGTTATAGGAATATTCGTAGTAGGATCCGTTCGTTATAGCATACCCCACTGTATACCCATACTTGAATTATATGTCGAGAAATTTTTTTTTTTAATTTATTCATTTGTATTAGAAAAACTCACTCCATCTAAACATCAACACCACTCCTGAAACATGTTTAATTTCTAGCCAAAAATATCATGATAAATATGATGATCTTAAAATATTAAATTCAGAACTTTTGCAAATTCATGATTCACGACGATTTCCAAGAACGTAACCCTCGTGAATACGGGGGAAAAGTGTATTTACATTTGGGGGACTTTTTTTTGTGTCGTCAATGGGAAAAATTACTTCAATTTACAAAAAGGTTTTCAGGAATATATCCCTTTCATAAATCAAAGCATTCCTGTATACTGTACTGCACTGGGAGTATACAGTGATGATTGCCTGTAAAAGTGATTAGCTAAAGAGCTGTTCAATAAAACCTTAGTGCTAGAAATAAGTCATCTTTCTTCTCGTTTTTCCCAATACAGGTATATATTTAATTTTAGCCTGGCTGCTCTACTATCCAACAAATTTGTCCATGCTGTATTCTCTAAACCAATTTCTTAGATTCATGTTACTAATGTTCTATTTCTTGCCATTAAGTCCTTCCTCAAGTAATACATAAAATTTACAAATTCACAAATCTGGCATATTCTAAAATTACTGTTCAGGGGGTCCCTGACTTACAAACATCCGTCTTATGAATGCCTGCCACTATGAATGGGGTTAAACTTGGAATTTACAGTATTTTATTTACCTGGTGACTTATTTTTTACTTTCATTTACTGTATTTTGTCATTCTATTTCTTCTTTTGTCTTAAATTAATTGATTTTAGATGTATATAAGGACTTAGGCTATGATATAGTGGCATTTTAAACATTGTTCTGTAAGTAGGTATGCACATAGCATGTGTTCCGATTTATGTACAAATCCAACTTAAGAACGTCCTCAGGAACGGAACCCGTTTGTAACCTGGGGACCCCTTGTACTCTATACAGATACAAAGAAAAATCTGTTTACCTCAATGCCCTGGAGGTCAGCTTTGGAGCGGATTACAGTGGTAGGAATATCACTCTCAGCAACTTCATCATCGAGGTCAATAGCATATGCCATACGACCAGTGAGAAATAAGTCATTGAACTCTGCTGGCTTTGTGTTGAAAACGCTGCTGAAAATACGTCGTCCAGTGTTTGTTCTAAAGAAAAAAAATTAAAATTATGGAATACATGTGTTTACTATTGTAATGAAAAAAGATTTGATCCTGTAATCACATTTTATGGATGAGTCCAAAAACAAGGTGGCTTATGTTTTGCATTCAGTAAGCAATTGGTACAGAACCAGGAGAAATAACTGTGATGACTGGGATTTATCTCATAATAAATTTATCTTCCCCTGCTGCAAATGTCACCTTGAAACAGATAATAAAAGCAAGGGTTTACTCTACAGTAAACTACAGTGTGGTGGCTTGATGATCATGTGATACCAGTTTAGTTCAAACATAATGGCTCTCAGACATTGACTTCCAATGACTCCTGGCATACTTTCACAATAACCAAAGAGAGGGCCAAAGACTTTGAGTCACTTTGTTCCAAGTTTGGCCATAAAATGGTCATCAAAACATCTACTGTACCATGTCAATGGATAATCTCTCTGGAGTCCAAATATGACTAAGGTAGTAAGTTGTACCAAAACAGCATTTGGTTGCTATCTCCGAGGTGACAAGTTGGGCTTGTCTTTCAAGATAAGTGCACATAAACAACAAACAAGGTTCTGGCTTTCCAATGTGTTCTCTCTCTAACTTCCAAATGTGAAAATTCTAGAAAAGGGAGAAAATGTATACTGAAAAATTAATACCCTGATTAGCTTTCGGGACACGTTCCTGGAAAATTGAGCGCTATTCTTATACTGTATTGCATATATGGTGATGCGTTCCTGATGATATTATTTTTTACCTAGGTGATATATACAGTACTGCATGTGAAGGGTACAGGTATTAAAAAATACACACTATTACAGTAGCATATCTCTTCAAATTAATGAATAACAAATAAACAAAGTACTGTACTGTACAATATTGTATTATGAATGACATGTTGAGTGAGAGACATGTGTTGGTGAGATGCAGCGGGTGGGAGGGAGGGAGAGAATCTGCTCTGGATGAAACTAATCCATCTCTGCATCACTGAAATTATGATTTAGGTGGTGATAATAGAGGTAGTGGTGATGATGGAGGTAGTGGTGAGGGAGACTGTGGTAAGTATTGAGGTGATGCATCTGTCAGTTTCTTTGGTAACACTGCCAGATGCTATTGAACAGCTGATGTTTATCCAACAAAACTGAGTGTAAATATAAGAGTAACGTTGTACCCCTTCAACATTACGTTACACAACATTATAAAATATGGAGTGAGAAAGCAGAAAGGTGGGGATGATTAGAGGTGGAGTGGAAGGGAGTAGCAGCACACACCAGGTGTGTTGCCAAGTGCTCCTTAACAGCTGATCTTCAACCCTCTACCATGTTTTTGTGCTTCAGTTAGCCACACAGAATTTTGTCATACAATAAGACCTACACTTACTATAAAATTATAAAATGCATTTAATAATCAACTGTAGTCATGGGTACTCACTAGAGTACAGTATAAACAAATAGAATTGCTGTCGGTGTGTTGTGAGTGTTCGGACCGAGACTTTTGACATCTTTTATGGATTTTCATTTTTTCCCAAGTAAATCTAGAGCTCCAAAATGCAAGCAAGAGCACTATAACAAAACAGCACTTTAAGGGGTAGTGCTAACCGGTGTATTACTGTATCAGTAAGGTGAAAAGCAAAGAAAGAGCAAGAAAGTTTGGAGGTGGTGCATCAAACTAAGTAATCCATACATATGGACCTGTATTAAACAAAAATATACTTATTATAAAATTCATGTTGATACTTGCTTGAATATCAGCTCATCTTCCTCTTGCTGAGGAACTACAACGGTAGTTGGCGGTTTCTTCTCTTTTGGTGCATCAGATGAAATAGGCCTCTCTATTTCTACCAAAACTTCAGATTCCTTAATTTGGATTTCTGATCGCACCTTTTGTAACAATGCGTAATCTAAACCTTTTACTAAATGTGTGTGCTCCATGTCACCACCCAAGAATTTGGACTCTTGAATCATCTGTTTCCGACGTTCAGCAGCATCCAACCCCCTATAATTAGAAACATTGTCATTAACATTAAAAGCTTAAAGATACATTCATTAAATAGCTCATTTAAGCTGATAGCATTATAAGTACAGTAGTCAAACCTTATTCAACAGTTTTCTCAAATACAGATTTGATTATTAGCTCTAAAAAAATTCTGGCACTTATTTGACAAACAATGAAAAAAATGGTTTTACAGATGGTCTGAATTTGAAACTGGCATGCACCTGGCCCCGCACCCAACAGTACTTGGTATTTCAAGCCATTTGCTGGCACCTGCACTGTTTACCCAAATTTCTCATGCCATTGCAAGGTCATTAGGTGCCTTTTCTGCCTACCCACAGGCTTTGCTATACTGTACTGTGTAATATTCTGCACCTGTAACTGTACTTTGGAGCAAATATGTAAAGACCCTCAGAATGATAATGCAAAGAAGTGAGCAAGGAGGGTTATAACACTACCCAATAATATAGTGATTTTAAACAAGTTATGCAGCAGTAAAAGTGAGGCAGCTGTTGGTCTACTCAAAAGAATTAACAAGGTGAGTAGGCATAAAATTCGTATTAAGGAAATGATTCATGCTAGTATCAAGGGTTCTATACCATTAAGTGCTAAGGTGTCTTAAGTACATACCCAGAAGAAATCCTAACTTTGTTGTTCATATACAGTACATGCACCCTAAGAATTTTATTAAGGTGGTCTTTATATGCTACCATCCATAGCTATTTACCCTTATCCTATCTTTCCCACATGATATTAAGTCTACCCAATGTGGATAAGCTGAACATACCATTTTTGAGAAACCCAACCCCCATGTTTTCACTGTATTCCTCAGATTATTTAAAATACATTTCTCCTAAATATTAATCTATATCCTAGAAGACACTCCCATCCCTAACCTGTTACACAGAGAGGATGCACAGATATCACAACACATACATGTGTGTGAATTTGTTTACATTTGATGAGATAGAGACCACAGAACATATGAGCCATTTTTTAATGTTTTTATTTTATAATGCATGGTGACAATGAGAAGAAAAGGTGGAACTTGGATACTGCTCCTTGAACAATAGGGTTGCTCATTTTTTCACACTTTTTTAAAATTGTGGGTGGGGGTGTTTTTTCCCATTATTTTGTTACTCCTGAATTCATTGGTGCCAGAATTAATGAAATCCAACATGTTCTAGGGGTCGCGAATCCAAATATAAAAAATGAATTTTTGCGAAAAAACGTCAAAACTCAAGCTTTTTCTCTTATAGATCAGCAATCGCGCTGCTTTTCACTACTTAACCCTAATGGCTGGCTAGAGCAGCTATTCAGCTTTCCATTGACACCTAATTCGATTGCATGCACCTCTTATTTGACCTTCTAAGTCAGGTCAAAGGCTGTAGCCTACCTGCGTTAACGGAGTTATAAATTCACTAGGTTCACATTGGCAGCTTTAAAACCCTGCGCTTCTTTGCAGTGTTTTGACATGTGTTGTGTTGTTGTTGGTACTGTGGTGTTATTTTATAATTTACTCAAATCTGCTATATAGTGTGGCAGTAAATTTATGGTTATCTATTTATGTTGTATTTTCTACAGGTGATTAAATTGCTCTTATGTGACCCTATTTTGTTTGCCTATTTTGTTTTATTACAAAACGTTTTTTTCTTACAGAGTTCATCTGTTTATATACATACAATCATGGAAGAGAGTGAGTCGCAGTCGGGGGAGAATGCTAAGGGGACTGTCAGGCCAACATCATCCACTACCCGTTCTGCCACTGAAATCTATCTAGTAGGCCAGCCAGCATCGTCAATTAGAGGCAGTAAACTCCCGACGATGCGTCAAGTCCTGAAGTTCTTCTTTCACACAGTGAATGAATCTGGTGACAGACAGGAGACGTTTAAAGAAACAGTGAGAAACGTACTCACGTTCTGGAATTTAGCTCGCATCAAGACTATCTCAGAGAGGGGGTGCCGGGAGAAGCTGACAAGGTTATGGGAGCACTGGAGAAGTCTACAAAAAAGTCGGGACAGGGCTGCAAAGGACAAGGTTGAAAACTTCAAGTCTCAACTTGACCTGTTGTGGGACATCGGAGCACCGGACGCCGTAGAGGACATCGAGAAGAACCGGCTGCTTACACCGGCCGACAAACAACAAGACATCGCCTTCTATCAAGACCAACGCGGAGAAAGAAAAGCGTTCATGAGTGGTAACGATAAGATTTTTGCCGCTAAGAAGAAAAAGCAGGAGGAACGAGTCGAGAAGCAAAGGTCGAAACAGGGAAGGTTCGCAGCCTGTGAACCAAGCAGCAGTGATTCGAGACCTCAAACCTCTGTGGTGGCTGACACCCCAACGGAAGTAGAAATGGAGAAAAAGGACACAGCGATACAACCTGGCAGGTACACATCAAAGCACCCTTATGTGACGGTTCAGCTTCCACGTCGCATTCTCCAAGAGCCAGCATTAAAGGAACTCGCTGACCGTCTTCGGATATCCAATAACGAAGTAAGTGTATCCATAAATGTGTTTGGAATGTTTGAAATTTCTGTTAATTATTTGATAAGCACTTAAACAGTCGACATTTTCTACTGACACCCTTGCCTGCTTTTGCTTGCAGATAGTTTCGGTGGTCGCAGCAGTGCTGCGCTCTGCTAACCCGCCAGGCGATCTGTCTGAGTTCCGGATCTCGAGAGAGACTGCGAGACGGGCGCGAGCTTCACACCGTCGTCAGGTAGCTGCCGCACAAAGGGAAGCCTTCACGCCTCCACCACATGCAGTGGTGCACTGGGATGGTAAGCTGGTTAAGGTGAGAACACGTTTAGGTACTACATTAATATTTTACCAAAGCCTAGACTATTGTAATATATTGTTAGAAATGTATCAAATCATTAACAAAAAGCTTGGAGAAAAAGGCAGCCTTGATAATTCTTCATTATCTGTCTGAATTTTTATATTTCTCTCATTTCAGAACGTCGTGGGAGAAGAAGAACACCGACAGGCCATCTTCATCTCAGGGCGCGGCCATGAGGAAGGGAAGCTGCTTGCTGTCTTGCCAGTGAAGGACGGCACTGGCCTGACCCAGGCACGCGCAACAGCTCGTGCTATCGAGGACTGGAGCTGCGCTTCAAACGTCAAGGCACTGTGCTTTGATACAACGTCGTCCAACACAGGGCGAGTCCAAGGTGCGGTTGTCCATCTGGAGGCGCTGCTGGAAAAACAGCTGTTGAGGCTTGGGTGCAGACACCACGTCATGGAACTGGTGGTGAGAGCCGCTGCCAGCAACATCTTCGGCAAAACATCGGCCCCTACGGACCCTCTCTTCCAGACTCTTAAGAAAAGGTGGAGTCAACTAGATCACTCTCAGTATCTCAGGCTGGACATTGCAAATCTACCAGAGTCTGACTGGCTCAGTCACCTCCGACACAGGACCGTTAGCTACCTGCTGACCGTCACAGAATGGGCCAGAGAGGATTACCGAGAAGCGGCAGAACTAACGCTCCTCGTCCTCGGTGTGAATCCTCTGCGCGGCACGCACTTTCTGCATCCTGGCGCATGTCACCACGCTCGCTGGATGGCGAAGATCATATACTACCTCAAGATCTACATGTTTAGCCACCAGCTAGAGCTCAGCAGTGACCTGTGCGTCAAGCTGCAGAGGATGGCGATCTTTGTGTCTCTGCTGTACACACCGGCGTGGCTGAAATCACCAGTAGCCGAGGATGCGCCTGTGAATGACCTGCAACTGCATCACGAACTCCTCCGCTACAGGGCCGTGGACTGTGAGGTGGCTGATGCGGCGCTGGCGGTCGCGAGCCGCCACCTGTGGTATCTAAGGCCACAGACCGTCGTTCTGTCGCTGTGCAGCGAGAAGTTGAGTGCGGCAGAGAAAAAGGAGATGGCGACCAAATTGAGCTGCCTAGAAGAAACGAACGACTACGCCAACGACAACTTGGTCATCCAACAGACTACACGGCTTTCCGACCTGATAGATGAACGGTCATGGATGATCTTCAAGGAGCATCATGTGTGCGGCACAGCATGGCTGATATCACCGGTGGAAGACTGGGAGAAAAACGAAGAGTTCATGAAGCTGAAAGATTTCTCCAGAAGCCTGAAGGTAACCAATGACGTGGCCGAAAGGGGAATAAAGCTTATGCAGGACTTCATTGATTCAGTCACGAAGGATGAGCAGCAGCTGCAGGATGTCATGCAACTTGTGGAAAAGCACAGGAAGCAGATGAGTGGCTTCAGCAAGTCTGCTCTGATGCAACTGTGAGAGTTGAATAGAGGGGGGATTGAACTTTCAAATTGCATCTCCTCCTAGAGTTATTGACCTATTTCAATGATGTTTGTTTTTTAAGAGGGAAATATATCATGGAAAAGACTGTGACGGCAAAATATTGATATGTGTTTTCGAATAAATGGAAAAGTCAAAACTATGAATATTTTGGAATCTGGTTCCCTTAACGCAGGTAAAGCCTTTGACCTGAACTAGAAGGTCAACTAAGAGGTGCATGCAATCGAATTAGGTGTCAATGGAAAGCTGAATAGCTGCTCTAGCCAGCCATTAGGGTTAAGTAGTGAAAAGCAGCGCGATTGCTGATCTATAAGAGAAAAAGCTTGAGTTTTGACGTTTTTTCGCAAAAATTCATTTTTTATATTTGGATTCGCGACCCCTAGAACATGTTGGATTTCATTAATTCTGGCACCAATGAATTTAGGAGTAACGAAATAATGGGAAAAAACACCCCCATCCACAATTTTCTAAAATTGGGAAAAATGAGCAACCCTATTGAACAATAACCCCCTGAGATAGGTTGCCATATTCGACTCTACTGTATTTTGCTTCCTTTTCCGAGAGGGAATTTTTCTTTCAACTTAAGCACACATGGCTAGGCCTATACCGTCTCCAAAATTAACTTTATTGGTTAAAACACTGTCACCAATAATACACAAAATAAAGAGTTGATAAAAGTACAACCCAAAATAAAATTCATAACAGGGTAAAAAAAAAAGTAGTAACATCTAGACTTATTTACATAAATTAAAAAAAATTCTAATTAAAATTTACATACGATTTGAGATCTGGAGCAACTGCACGGTAACCTCCCATGCCAGCTTGCGATGGATCTTCTGCCTGGTAGTCTGGATTTTTGCCTTCACGTCTTTCTTTAGCTCTATCACGGTACTTTTCTGCCAACTCTGCCATCTTTTCTTCCTCTTCCTTCTTGATCTTTGCATAGTAACTGTAATAAATAAAGTGGGTGCATCAAAGGGCAGAACAATAAGCAATAAATTAAATCATGAGTAGCCGGGAAAAAGAGGGTACATGTATGAAGGGAGAACAGTATCAGAGGAGATAAATATGGGTTGTATGGAGGGAATTGTTGAGCTTACATTGTTACTATTATACCAAGGGTGGCCAAACCACGGCTTTTGAGGCGCATCTTTGACACTTAATGGCTGAATACCTTTCGTATCATAATTAATATAAAAGGTACTGGTAAATAAGAAAAGTGTTCGAGCTTTATATTTATAAACTGTGAGGCCACTAGATTAAAAAATAAGTTAAATATTCAAGGTGAGTACAGTACTGTATAAATATTTAAGAATTTAAATCTTAATTTTAATGCTCGAATTTAGTCAGGTGTTGTTCATCAGTGCTGAGTCAGGTCAGGAATTATGGAGGAAAGTCAGAGGGAGGGGAAAGGGATGTGAGGGGCAGGGCAAGGGGCCCAGCCTCACGTCATGACCTGACACATTAACGCAGTGTAACACAGGATGTTGAACTGTCCAGATCTAATTGGTATGCTCTGGGTACAAGATGTGTTTACAGTTCATAAAAATAAGTAGCTTTTAAATACCATACTGTAAAATTTGTTTGACAGCAATGTCAATGAAAATTTTGTGAAGGGAGATGGCATCATCTAATTGTAAGAAGCGGAAGTATGATAATGAAAACAGAAATTTTAAACCAGAGTGGGAGGATGATTTTGCATTTACCGATAAAGGAGGTAAACCTTTGTGCCTTATCTGCAATGTGTCACTCACTCACCACAAAGCCAGCAACTTGAAAGGCCAAAAAAAAAAAAAAAAAAAAATCGTGATTATTCACCTAAATCAGAATTATGGTAAAACAAGCTTTGTAAGGTGGTACTATATGATTAAAATAATAACCACTGTATATCTAATTTTATTGGTTTGCTTGTTTTTCTTTTATCTTTTCCTCCAAGTTTTTACCAAATGTTACCAAGACAAGTAAATATAATTAAAAATATTTTTTAGCTATTTTCATCCCCTTTTCCTTCAACAATCACATTTTATGTTACTGAAATGAAAACCTGCATATTTTTTCTGAGATGTGCCCGTAGTTCATTATGTATTAAATATGCTCAGCACCGTTAAAACAAACATCACTCAAAATTTTGAAAACATTTGGTATATACTGTATTACTGAGTACAGTGCATGTATCTTAGTAATATTTGCATATAATTTTTTTTTTATGAAATGAGTATGTACAGTAACAGTACAAACTTGTGTATACTGTATTTCCTTTATGTACTGCGGCTCTCAAACATCTGAAGATAATCGTTTGCAACTCTAGGTTAAGTAAGTCTGGCCACCCCTGCAATATACAGTACAGTACTGCATACATGTGAGGCATGGACACTGGATACAAGTGGAAGAAGCATATTTAAAATTACAGAAATAACATGGCGTCATGCTCGAGAGCAATATGCCTGATGTACAGAATGCAGATACTGTACAGTAATAAGTAATAAAGGTATTACGAGATGTGAAAATATATTAAATGCCACCCAGAGATGACTAGGGTCATACTATAGTGAGAATTGGACATGAAAGACAGGTTAAATGAGAGCATAATTTAAATGTGTATACTATATTAGATAAGAGAGGGAAAGACCAAGAGGGGTATGAAAGACTGGGCTGAATGTTGGACTAAAAGTGAGGCAGATAGACATCAAAGAAGCATAGGAGTACAGGGTACCATGGAACCAGGTGGTTTATGTGAATGGATGTGCTGTTGATAAGAAATGCAAGGTTGTGTAAAGCATCAGATATAAATCAAATTGATATGATGAGGCCTTCCTGTGGAGGAACACCACAATAAAATGCCATCTGTTGGTTGCATGCCAAACTTCATTAAGACCCTTACTTTCCATTCTTTGGCTTACACATAATTTTTACTAATTGTGGTGAGCACTCCACCGTTGGGAAACTATAGGAGCTGCTGCCTTTATTAATGGAAAGAGGACCTTTCATCCAAGTGAAAGGAAGAATGTAAGAATTTGTGAAGCTGGTGTAAAACGTGTGATGTTTTATGGCAGTGAAACAAAGGCTGTTAAAGAGGATGGCATAAGAAGACTTGAGTGAGTTGAAATAAGAATAGTGAGGTGAATGTGCAATATGTGCTGAGCTAAAAGGGGAAGAGGGTATTGAGAGTACCCTGTACGTACAGGCAAAGTCCTGTGTAGATGCAGATTAAGATGGTTTGGACATGTGGAAAGAGTCAGAGGTGGGGTAGGCCAAGAATGATATGGGAGGAGGGTGTAAGAAATAACATTAGAGTTAGGAACCTGATAAGAGAGACTGCAAGAGATGGACCAGCATGGACAGCTGCCATCAGGTAACTGTGGCTAATCCACACAAGTGTGGAAAATGACTGTAAAATGAAAATAATGATGACTAATTCTTGACACATTACCTCTTTTTTTTCTTCCTCTCAGCAGCTCGGACGTCATCTTTATTTTCACGTCGCTGAGTTGGCGGCTCGGTACTAGAAGCTTTGGTTCCAGTTGAAGAAACTGTTTCTTTCTGACTCCCCGGTGGAGCACGGGGAGTCATTAACAACTTACGGAAGTCTGCATTGGTCAAACGTTGTGGTCTGAAAATATCAAGAAAAGGTAAATTACTGTACAGAGTACAGTCATGCGCTGGTTAACGTCTTAGATATGTTCTTGGAAACGTGACGTTAACCGAAATGGACGTTGTCCGATCATCACATAAACTTTTTATTTATACTTGTACTTACGTGTATGTGGAATACTATATACGTACATATACACTTTTACTCTTAAATCACTACTGTAATGTGATACAGGCGATTAATTTTTATCTCTTGTGCAAAATACATGACGTTTATATTAAAATTATTCACTGTTTTACAAGGATTCCAGCAATGCTGGGCAGTTGGGGGAGAGGGAGGGAGGGAAGGAGGGAGGGAGAGCGCGAGGGGGCTTGGGGGGAGGGGAGGGGAGGGAGAGCGCGAGGGGGCTTGGGGGGAGGGGAGGTAGTACGTTTGACAGTTGGCACTGGCCCAAGGTCTAACGCGTGTACCTGTATATTTATCAGTTCTTAAGTGACTAAGCTTCTCTCTTATAAAAAGCCAGTGACATGACCTGGGTGAATATAATTAACATTGCTGGGATTCTTGTAAGATACTGATTAATTTGAATATAAACATCCTATAATTTGCACTAGACATAACAATTTTAGTGCCGTAATCAAATTAGTACATGTGCACTCCAGCTTTGCACTAAGGTCATTTATTTCTTTTACGTTTCTTTTAGTATGGTGTGTGCATGTAAATGGATGAAAATAAATGAAAAAATTTATGTAAATCTACCCAAAAATACAGTTGAAAAACTTTTTTACAAAATGTACTACAGTATTGTACACCAATGTACTTCATTTTTTATATCCTGAGCAAAATATATGACGCTTATATTCAAATTAATCTCTATCTTGCAAGGATTTCAGCAATGCAAATTATATTATCCTAACTTTAGTCTGGGATATTATATAAAATAAATATAAAGAAATCACCAATCTTTTGTCTGGGAGGGAGGGGGCAGGAGGTGAGGTGACAGAGTGTCTGGCGTTTGTTTGTTTATTTATTTGAGATAAGATTTGACAGTTGGCACTGAAGGCCTGCCTGTGTGTTTATTTATCATCACTTAAGAGTGACAAAGCTCTTTTCATAATTTGCCACCCAAACGACCTGGGTGAATATAACTTACATTGGAGGGATTCTTGTAAGATAGTAATTATTTTGAATACCTGTATAAACAAGCTATATTTGCAAAAGACATAACAATTTTAGTACCGTAATCATTTAGTACATGTACAATACAGGTTTGCACTTAGGTCCATTGTTACTGTACAATATTGACTAAATTCACTAAATAACGTGCGCCTAGCAGCACAATCTATAAGAATACGTGATGCATACGTGACTGTGCCCGCTCTAGGGCCATTTAGGTTCGCTAGGTCCCATTATTTGAATGTTTTTTTTTCAATTTAAATTTTAATTGTTTATTCCTTGATAGAGGAAGCGGGATCCTAGTGCTGTCACTTGGTACCCCTGTACCACAACACCAGAAGCAACTGGCCAGTGTCACAAATATATACAGTACAGTACAGTCATCCCTTGGTTATAGCAACTAATTGGGACCCTGCCGATAAAGAAAGTACAGAACCTATGGGATTTATTCTAATTGGTTCCAGGCACCCCAAGACCAAACCCCAAGTTTCCCATTTTACGACCATTTATACCCACTAAATATATATATAATGTTATGGTAAATATCATAAACACACATAGGCATGGCTAGGTTTATTACAAAGTGATGAAAAGGGTATGCTTAATACTGTAGTCCACAAAACATGTACTACCTATGCTTTTTTTATTTGGTCCCCCATCATACGAGTCCGTTTTCTCTCACATCAGGACGCCTGATTCCTCCATTTTCTCTCTTAATCTTAGAGAGCACCAGAGACTTCACTATAATTAGAAATGCCACAGAATTTGAAATTGCAACCCCAATTGCAACTGGGGTTGCAATTGCTGAGGCAACTAGATATGCCTGATTACAGCAAATGTGTTATTGTCAATTTGTAGGTGAAAGATTTTATCCTCAATAGATGTAGGTTAACATTACACTTGGAGGCAAATGTTTAAAAATAGCCTAAGATAGGAAGCATATTCCTTTAACACATAATATCTGACCAGTATGGGGAGGATCATCATGTCTCCGTCAGGGGGTCGTGGAGTGGTGGCCCAGCAGGCGTCAAGGATTTTATTTGCGGGGGGGGGGGCCACGGACGTATATGCGATCGGACGTTGTTCAGTCGGACGTTAACCGGCGCATGACTGTACTTTAAATTATGTACACAACAGTATATATAAATGTATATATTACAAGTTATTTTATACTTAACAGAAGCATAATGAAAATCTCTTTCATTCTACATTATTTTACTGGGGTGTAAGTCCTGGAAAGATGGGATGATACATCCCCTCCTGCACTCAGGATGGGAAGGGTAGCCTATATCAGCATCCCTCCTACAATCCATGTTATTCATAAAAAAATAATTTTTCATGATAACATTACACAATATCAAAAGTAGCAAATATATTTAGCTTTTGAAAAATATAGAGTTTTTACTTATTATTCTCTATAAACTATAAGACACGGCACAAGAAAAAGCACTCACTAGACATTGAGCCAATCCAGCTTCCAGATACACTCAACTCCCAAGGGATTGGCAGGTAAAAAGACAGCCACATTACTCCACTACAACAAGATATCACTGACAAACAATGGTTGAGCACAAGGTATGATCCAGAAAAGAGTGTTCTAAAGCACTACAGTACATGGCAATGGAAGCCTTCATCACCAATGAAAAGGTTGATGAAACCATTACCAACCTGTATCCAAAGCTCAATATGGGCAAACTAAAGTTTCAACTCTTCATGTTGAAGTGCAGCCTCCTTCAATGAAGTGAAGGTGTACCATGGTATGGTTTAGTAATAAATTTTCAATAAAGTCCAAGCATCTTGGATAGAGATAGAAAAGAGAACTTATAAAAATCTATAACTTCTTTTAAAGGCATGATGCACACCTCAGTGGAAGTAGGACCCTTACTGAAAGTTAGCTTATAATCTGAGGTAAGCACAGTTTCTCCTCGACTAACGATATACAGTATGCGACTTACGACGGTCATTGTCGTTATATTATATTAAAATACTTTCCATTATTTTCGAGTCCAGACGTTTGGTCGTAATGTCTAATGACGTTGTACGACAACTTCGGCTAGCACGCTGCCACATGTGTACAGCATCCACGTCATATCCCGCTTGGTTTGTGTATTAAAACGATAAAAGTTTTACAATTATTACAGTACTACGTATTATTTTCGTCGGTTCGACTTACGACTCAATCGACTTATGACCTGGTCGTCGGAACGGAACCCTGTCGTAAGTGGAGGAGAGATTGTATAAACTCCTTCAACCAATCTAGTAATACAAACAGTTTTCTGATTTACAAGGCAACAATCAAATCTTTGGTAACCTGACCTGACTTTACCAAGATTTACCTTACAGTATTTAAAGATGCAAACACATTAAATGGTTACCCATTCAGATGCTAAGCAACCAAGACACAAGGCAAACATAGATACTGTGAATGATTAAAGTATCCAGATGAAATACTGGGGGATGTGCAGATCTTTCATGTAACAGAGTGCTGTCCCCTGATAGGTGGTTCCTGATTATGTTTATGTCATGTGATTAAAAAATAAACATTATATCCCATGAAACTTCCTCAGAGAACTTTAAATGTGCCAATTTTCTTGTAACCTGATCATGTCTATATCATGTGTAGAAGAAGTAAACAATAAATCCCATAAAGTTTACTCCAGTGAATTGGATAAGTACTAAAGTTATGCAGGAATTTTGGGTAAAGATTCATTTTATACCATAATGAGAAATTTATTATACTAAAATAGATTTTACTTACGTATTTTTTTTTCTTTTTATAAATGATATGACCTTTATTTCCATGGGAAATGCATATTTGTGGTGTTATCACTCCTTTAACACTAGCAATGACAATGAATTTTTCAAAGTGGGCAGGGATTTGAAGATGAAGGAAAATAAGGGTTAAAAAAATTTAAAACTCAACCTAACCTTTTGAACCTATACAGTAGTGCAGTACTATACTGCAATAACGATTTTACCCAAAATCTTACACTATTTATGTGATGGACAAGCAAACACTGAATCAGTGAACCAGGTTTTATACACAACCAACTTTTATCTAGATGTATTCATTCGATATCTGCCTCATGACTTAAACACCGAGAACAAGAAGAGAATCACTGAAGAAACACCAAAAACAATGATTCACTTTTCTCTCCGTCATTTCATTAAATAAGGTAAGCTTTTAATATTACAGTACTGTATTAGGACTTTACTAAGTTAGGAAAGTTTAGGTCCGGTTTTCAATGTTTTGTTTAGTAATTTTTTGTTGTTTTAACTCTTCATTTTCCCTCATCTTTAAAACCCTGCCCACTTTGGCAGAAATCACTGTCGTTGTTAGTGTAGGGGTTATATCTCCATAAATATGCACTTCCCACAGAAATGAGGGTCATATTCATTTATAACATGACAAAATACTTGACAAAAACGTATTTTAGTACCCTGTAATAAATTTCCTGTTTTGACCAAAATTTCCACTCTTTATAATTCAATTTACTCTAAAACTATAAATTCCCATAAAAAATGCAATAGCATAAAGTATTCTACCTTTTTTCCTATGAACCTACAATAAAATTAGTATAGCGTCCTGTCCATGTACGCTACTAAATCTTAACCACACATCCCAGTATACCTGTTGCCTCACTACATTTTGAAGCAATCATAAAGCATGATTGTTCAAACAAGTATGTTAAGTAGGTACTAGTACAGTATTTATGCAGCAATTTAAGTTGACTGAGAGTAAAGTTTCATTTTAAGAATGCAGATTGCCCTCAATAAAAGAAAGGTACAGTACTGTTAAAGGGGAGTTCTCACAGGCCATGAGAAATTATGGTATTATTTTCTTGTAGCTCCGTTCATTCCTACCACTAATCTATTATCATATTCGAATAAGACGTCTAATTATAATATAATTTTCATCTATTACATTACTGGCGGAAATGTATAATAACAGAGATAGCTTTTCCAAAAAATTTTCTATTCTATTCCATTAACATTGCGCCATTATCGTCTGCCTCTCACCTAACACTGAGTAGGTCTCGCGTCTCCTTCATAAATCATGACACGCATGCGTACCCGTACACGTCACGCAGCCAATCAAAAGCGTTTTTGCTAATTCAGAGTATATTTGGCCCAATCAAAATCGAGTTTTATTTTGGGTCTCATATTTTGAAATTCAAGTTCAGTTCCGACCATGGAAGTCTGCAATGGGTGTCACAAAGTATATGGAGCTGATTGCGAGTTTTTGGAAGAAAAAATAACGTAGAAACTATAGCATTTTTTTGATCGCATGGTGTTCTTCCAACCTCAGTAAAGTGTACTAAGAGCAAGACTGAATGTAAATATCGCAAAGACCAACATATGTGGCGTTGTGTAAGAATCCCAGAATCCAACGACGAACAAGAACCAGGCCAATAAGGTAAGAAATAGGTGATTCCATCATATGGTGAGAGTCAGTTAAGTTAGGTCAGGTTAGGTTAGGTTTGGTTTGGTTATTGTTTTTCTAGTGTTTTATTGTGTATTTGTTAGTCGCTTAGGCACTTTTTTTTCTCGGAAAACGTCAAACGAAAAAAAATTGCTAAAAAAAAAGGCTAATTTCCGCCAAAAAGGAAGGTCGTATTCGGTCTCAGCACACACAAATACATTAGAAAAATATTTTTTTAACTTGCTACAAGTGAACGGTGCTACAAGAAAAATTTACCAAAATTATATTTACCGTACATGCTACCTTAATATCTTTGTAGTGGATACAGGTATGACAGTCGTATGCCAAAAATCCTACTGGATATTGGTACGGAAGCCATATTAACTGACTGTGTTGTTATTATTTTAATTTAAATCATTAGGGGACACCAGAACATAAAGGGGGGTCTTGGGGGGGGCGAAGTCTCCCCCCCTCCCCCCCGTTAGGTTAGATATAGTTCCTGGGTTGGGCTAGGTTAGGTTAATAGTTTGCATATGTAAACACAGAGATGATTGAAACTAAAATTTTACCGTGTTGTTAATGGTTAAGCTAGATTTGGTTTGGTAACTCAGTAAGACGGCCATCTAAGTAGCATTTTGCATAGCCTCCTGTATCCTGTGTCAAATCAGCGTCAAATTACCGGCCGATCAGTTTGACGTCAGTAGTGGGGAAATTTCTTGAATCAATTATAGCAGATAGCATCCGATCGCATTTAGAGAAAAGCAAATTAATCTACGACTTTCAACATGGGTTTACAAAGGGAAAATCTTGTCTAACAAATCTGCTGACGTTTTTTAGGAAAGTCTTCGAGGTAGTAGATAATGATGAAAATTACGATGTTATTTACTTAGACTTTAGCAAAGCATTTGACAGAGTACCGCATCAGAGGCTTCTGAGAAAAATTAAGGCTCATGGTATCAAGGGGAAAGTTTTAAATTGGATAAAATCATGGCTCACCGATAGAACGCAGAGGGTCAGCGTAGATGGCGTTAAATCTGAGTGGGGCCGTGTAACCAGTGGGGTTCCTTGGGGTCAGTACTAGGCCCACTCTTGTTCATAATCTACATTAACGATCTAGATACTGGGATCAGCAGTGACATAAGCAAGTTTGCGGATGACATCAAAATAGGGCGGCACATAAATTCAGGGCAGGATGCAAATGCATTACAGGAGGATCTAAATAAACTGCAGGGGTGGTCTGAAAAATGGCAAATGAAATTCAACACCAGCAAGTGCAGCGTACTTAATATTGGAAGAACAAATACTGTCAATGTATACAGCCTTAACAACAATAACCTAGAGAAGTCGACTTGTGAAAGAGACCTAGAGGTACTTGTAAGCCCGGACCTACGGCCTAGAAAACAGTGCGTTAATGTTCGAAATAAGGCAAACAGAGTATTGGGTTTTATATCTACAAGTGTAAGTAATAAGAGTGCAGAGGTCTTGTTGCAACTATATCTTGCGCTAGTCAGGCCGCACCTCGATTATGCGATTCAGTTTTGGTGCCCTTATTATAGAATGGATATCAATTCACTAGAGACGGTGCAGCGTAGAATGACGAAAATGATTCCGGGACTTAGAAACCTTCCATATCAGGACAGGTTAAAGAAACTAAACTTGTATTCCCTAGAAAGACGAAGAGTGTGGGGAGATATGATAGAAGTATTGAAGTGGGTGAAAGGAATCAATAAAGGGGATATAGATAAAGTTCTTATAATATCCGAGCACGATAGGACTTGAAGCAACGGATTTAAGTTGGATAAGTTTAGGTTTAGGAGGGAGATAGGAAGGAACTGGTTCACAAATAGGGTGGTGGACGAGTGGAACAAGCTTAGCAACTTTGTAGTAAGTGCTGGAACGCTGGAAAGTTTCAAAAGGAGGCTGGCTAGATTCATGGATGATAGAGAGTGGTAGTAACTCTCGACAGGAGCTGCCATGCACAGGCCAACCGGCCTATTGCAGACTCCTTATTTTCTTATGTTCAAATATCTTACGTACACTAACCTTTCATCCACAACGGTTTCCCCTGGAGGAGCCAGGGGGTTGGAAAACACTTCCTCACCACCTGAAAACACAAAGAGTGTACAGTATTATTGAAAATATAATGTCTAAATTATTATCCATGAACCATTGAGGCCTGAGGAACTATTTTACTTGAATAATTTTTGTGATCTGTTCTTGTAATATTAGTGTCATAATAAACTTTCTTCAGCTGTTAATCGATTAACATACCTGGTGGCATTATCGTTTATGGATACTCTAATGACACTCGGAAAACTCTATTTCCTCAACTGCCTGATGTCCTGATTGCATGGATGGAGACAACTCGGGGCTGATGCTGAGCGGCCAGCTGCTGGAGCCTGTAATAGTAAACAACAAACATGTGAAAGAGGTTTTGCGTATTGTTCTCTTCTATTCCGAAGACTATAACACCTTACAGGACGACCCTCCGGCCCCCTAACGTGCAAAAAACACAATATTACTAACCTGCGAAAATAAGAGTTTCCCCGTGTACTCTTCCTCATTACTGATCTAGAGTTATGACAACCCTCCCCCCTCCCCCCGCACCATGACCATAGTGGCGGCCCTTAACAATTGTGGTGTATGGTCAGTGCTAATTATCTAGTAGGGGGGGGGGGATGGTGAGACATGGTTCACGGGGTTGCTCAATAATTTATTCAACGATAAACAAGATTCATGTATACTAATCATATATTCTGGCTTCTGATTGGTCGATTTTTCCGATCCTCTAAGACACCGTATACAACAACTTTAAAGACTCATTGAAACACGAACACCCGAGGCAAGATTTATATGTGTAAATTAGGTGTTGTGACTCCTAAGGCTCTCATTTTTCTGGAAGTCTTATTATGGAGTGGATTTTCATGAGTCTTAACCTGTACTTTTTTACTCCTGAACCTCATTTAATTCAGCATTTTTATTTGATTTTTATGACCAACGTAGCTCCTCTGGCGGCCATATTTAAGGTAGGAAGGTTTAATTATAAGTTAAATTCATCCCTTGTAGACTCAGCCAAGAACATCATCTGTGAGTCTGGATGGCTGTGTTGACGTTTGGTGGAGTTATGTAAATGGAAAGATTCGAATGTTTTAGTGAATTATAATGAAAATTCTAATGTTTTAGTGAATTATAATGAAAAATTCGAATGCTTTAGTGAATTATAATGAAAAATTCGACTGTTTTGGTGAATTATAATGAAAAATTCGAATGTTTTAGTTGATCATAATGAAAAAAATCGAACGTTTTTCAGTGAATTATAATGAAAAATTCGAATGCTTCTTAGTGAATTATAATGAAAAATTCGAATGTTTTGTTAGTGAATTATAATGAAATATGAGAATGTAGACTTGTGAAGGCATGTTTATTACCACAACACGTATAACAAGCAAGATTTATGCATAGCGATTAAGCGTCATGGAAACACCCTGGTCTTTTGTGTACCTGACCCACAACCTTACACCTGTTGATTATTTCTTACGTTTGGTTAGGTTGGGTTAGTTTACGTTAGGTTTGTTTATTTTATATTGACCTTTATTTAGATTACCTGGGGTTAAAGGTCAAAGGTTAACGATATAGTAAGAGATGCCTTAATATTTTGTTTGAGAGTTATTCAGTTATATATTGACTTATTATTATTATTATTTACTAACAATTACTTTTGTTATTATTATTATTTCTACTACTACTACTACTACTACTACTATTACTAGCAGAAAAAAAAAGATGTATTGTTTTTATTACGTACTCTCTTGCAAAGAACACGAAGAAAAAACTAACTAAACTCACGGATTCTCCCGTTGGAGAATATTTTTGTGGGCAGATTTATATTGCTGAAGGCATATTTCAATCACTCCCCTCTTCTTCCCTTTTAGTTTCAACATATTCCCAAAATATGAGACTGTGACGCCATAATTTTTAGAAATTTCTTGAATTGTTAGACTGGGCAGAGCTAACAGCTCCTCAGCGTGTTCACGCATGGCAAACCGCATGGGGAACCGGCATGTAATTATATCCTCCTCACCATCGAACATGGTAGTGTAGACGGCGTCCACACTATCATCTTGGAGGACGCCACCCTCTTGGTGATCGTCCTCTTGGTGATCGTCCTCTTCACAATCGTACAGGAAGATGCTACCCTCTTGGTGATCATCCTTTTGGTGGACGTCATCTTTACCATCATCTTGAAGGATGCCACCCTCTTGGTGATCATCCTTTTGGTGGACGTCATCTTTACCATCATCTTGGAGGATGCCACCCTCTTGGTGATCATCCTTTTGGTGGACGTCATCTTCGCTATCATCTTGGAGGATGTTCGTCGTCAGCTCGTCCGTGTTCCTGCGTGACAACTTCATTGTCTTGTCCACCAGGAAGCCCGTTCTCCGTATTTCTTGGAGCAGCTCGCGGACAGCATCGACTAGAACCAACACTTGGTAAGGGTCTTGGTACCCGCCACCCTCTTGGTGATCGTCCTTTTGGTGGACGTCATCTTTACCATCATCTTGGAGGATGCCACCCTCTTGGTGATCATCCTCTTGGCGGACATGGTCATCATCATCATCACCACCATCCTCTTGGTACCCGCCACCCTCTTGGTGATCGTCCTTTTGGTGGACGTCATCTTTACCATCATCTTGGAGGATGCCACCCTCTTGGTGATCATCCTCTTGGCGGACATGGTCATCATCATCATCACCACCATCCTCTTGGTACCCGCCACCCTCTTGGTGATCGTCCCCTTGGCTGATATATCGCCAAATGATTCGGCTGGCCATAACTAATACTATTAGGATAACCGCACCCACTGACACGTTCGTCGTCAGCTCGTCCGTGTTCCTGCGTGACAACTTCATTGTCTTGTCCACCAGGAAGCCCGTTCTCCGTATTTCTTGGAGCAGCTTGCGGACATCACCGACTAGAAACCACCTCTGGTAAGGGTCTTGGACGACGGTCCCTACATCTAGTGGAGGTGGTGGGGACACAAATACGAATACGGGGGCTAGCTGCCGCCTCAAGCTGTAGTGCCTCTCATGGGCCTCGGTGAGTAAGGCCTCGAGGTTAGCGTTGACCTTTTCGACCTCTATGAGGGAGTCTTTAACCCACCTCTGCACCACGACACACACCGTAGCGAGTTTGATGAAGGGAAACCACAGTCTAAATAACATTTTATCTATTTAGAATTTTAATTTTATTTGAGAAAATTTAACGACACTATTTTTCGCCGCACCAAAATATACACGAAATAGTGTAAGAGGGATACAACTACTGTTAATACTACTACTGTTAATGTTTTTTTTTTAAATAGGTCTCCAGCCTCCCCCAATAGCCACCAATTTATTACCTTAAAATTAAATATCCTAATACATAAGTAGCTATCCTAGCTGTGTTGAGTTAGTTGAGTCGCAGATGTATGCGGCATTCAGTGACTGTTGCCTCATAGTCAATATTACTACTACTATTACTACTATTCTACTAAAGGCGCAGTTCACTCCGCTTAAAAAGTAACGTGCACCGAACCACCCAAGGAAGACACCAGTTAAACAACCTGGAAATAAAGAAAAACACTTCGACAAAATGAGAAAAAATTTACAACAATTACAAAAGAGAAGAGGGGATTGGGGGGAGGTGTGAGAGAGGGATGAGGGGGTGACGGTACTGAGAAGTGAAAAAGGAGGGAATAAAGGGGGTTTGAGTGAGACTAGAGACATTTCTTAGGCGTGAGTCAGGTTACTGTAGCGGCTGAGGTTATCAGTAGGTCAATCAGAGCGAGGGAAGACTGACCACAACTCTCTCTCTCCTATTTTCTACACCTCTCTAGTATCGCCCCTTCTCTCCCACACCACTTAAATCTATCTCCCTCCCACCCCCTCCCTCACCCCTCCCCTACCCCTCACCCCCTCCCCTAACCTTCAACCCCTCCTCTCATCCCTTCCCCTCATCCCCTACTCTCACCTCCTGTTCCTGTCCCTCACAACAGGTAATTACAAATAGCAGCAGGTGGTGTGGTACTACTCCATCAGGTCCACCAGTCTTACCTCCCGCTGCTACAGGTGGTGTGGTACTACTCCTGCAGGTCCACCAGTCTTACCTCCCGCTGCTACAGGTGGTGTGGTACTACTACTGCAGGTCCACCAGTCTTACCTTCCGCTGCTACAGGTGGTGTGGTACTACTACTGCAGGTCCACCAGTCTTACCTCCCGCTGCTACAGGTGGTGTGGTACTACTACTGCAGGTCCACCAGTCTTACCTCCCGCTGCTACAGGTGGTGTGGTACTACTACTGCAGGTCCACCAGTCTTACCTTCCGCTGCTACAGGTGGTGTGGTACTACTACTGCAGGTCCACCAGTCTTACCTCCCGCTGCTACAGGTGGTGTGGTACTACTACTGCAGGTCCACCAGTCTTACCTCCCGCTGCTACAGGTGGTGTGGTACTACTACTGCAGGTCCACCAGTCTTGCCTCCCGCTGCTACAGGTGGTGTGGTACTACTACTGCAGGTCCACCAGTCTTACCTCCCGCTGCTGTGTAGGAAGTGGGCCAGAATTTGACCGGATCTGGCCTAGTTTACTCGGACTCTTCGTACCCTAGGAAGGACTGACTCCTCTCGAGGCTGGAGGTCCTGTTTAAGGCTCAGTGTTCGGTCAGTCAGTGAAAGTATGAACAGAAAACTCAGGACCAGCGGACAAAAGCCACAGTACATACAAACAGACAGTCTCATGATGGTGGGGGTGTAGTAACGTTCTTGGGGTGGCAACGTTCTTGTGGGGGTGTAACGTTCTTGTGGGGTGTGTAGTAACGTTCTTGTTGTGTGTATAACGTCTTGTTGTGTGTAGCAACGTTCTTGTGGGGTGTAGCACCGTTCTTGTGGGGGTGTAGTAACGTTCTTGTGGGGGTTCTTGTGTGTAGAATTCTTGTGTAGCAACGTTCTTGTAGCAACGTTCTTGTGGGGGTGTAGTAACGTTCTTGTGTAGTAACGTTCTTGTGGGGTGAAAAACGTTCTTGTGGGGTGTAGTAACGTTCTTGTGGGGGTGTAGTAACGTTCTTGTGGGGTGTAGTAACGTTCTTGTGGGTGTAGTAACGTTCTTTTGTGGGGGTGTAGTAACGTTCTTGGTGGGGGTGTAGTAACGTTCTTGTGTGTAGTAACGTTCTTGTGGGGTGTAGTAACGTTCTTAGGTGTAGTAACGTTCTTGTGGGGGTGTAGTAACGTTCTTGTGGGGGTGTAGTAACGTTCTTGTGGGGGTGTAGTAACGTTCTTGTGGGGGTGTAGTAACGTTCTTGTGGGGGTGTAGTAACGTTCTTGTGGGGGTGTAGTAACGTTCTTGTAGGTCTTGTGGGGGTGTAGTAACGTTCTTGTGGGGGTGTAGTAACGTTCTTGTAGGTCTGGAGACAAAACATAACATCATTGACTAAGAGACCAAATATTCTAATCATATCATCAAGTAGTTACTGTATGGACCAGAGACCAGAAACCACTTAAAGACCAAGGGAAAAGACAACAGAGACCCGGAAGAGAACATTGCAGGTTTGGGCTTGATTCTCAATAGAGAGAGAGAGAGAGAGAGAGAGAGAGAGAGAGATAATTGAATTTCCTCATAACCTAAGATATATTGTACT